CTTCGATGGCTTCGATGACTCGATCAATGACGTGGGGGCTGGTCTCGAAGATGTTGGGGAAGAGCAGATTGAGCAAATGGACCATGGCGTCCTCGCAACCAAGACCGATGACACCAAGTGCGACGTGTTTAACCGCGCTGGCAGCGGTCTGTCGGTGGACTTGATCACGGTCGACAAGGGCATCCTCGAGCAGCGGGGTGACAGCATAGACATAGTCCTTGCCCATCTCGCCGATGTACTCGAACAAGAAGGACAACGCCTTGAGCACACCGTTTTGTACGTTGAGATCGGGCACCCGGTACTCGTTCATCAGTGCTGGTAGGACAGTAAACGGAGCACAAGTTTCGGCCACGATACCAATGGCGACAGCTGTGCAAACACGCGATTGACGCTCTTGTACCCGCAAATTACCGAGAAGAGCCGCTAGGACATCCTGAGGACCGATGGCCTTGGCAATGAAACCGAATGTGTTGTTGGCCGCTCGGCGAATTCCCTTCTTGTGGGCCTTGAGCATATCCATCAACTCAAAGCAGATACGCATCCATTCACGGGCGTTCACGGACTCGGGACCACGGTCGGCAATACGACCAACGAGATCAATTGTGTTCTCTTGCACCTTTTCGTGACGGTTGCGCAGGATGGGTGTAAGACGGGGAAGAAGATCACGAATGGGTGGCTGCATTTGGGTGATACCGACCACGGTGACGATGGCACGCAAAGCACCCAGGATCGAACCTAGAACCTCGGGATATTCTTCACCCAGGTATTCGTAGAGCACAATACCAAGCTTGCCCATGAGCGCTTCTTCGTCACATTGCTTCATCACCAACGCAACGCGGGAGATAAGATCGGCTGCTTGTTGTCGAACAGTGGGGGATTTGTTGTTCAGGCGCCAGAGAATAGTACTGACAATCTGAGGAATATAGGCCTTGCATCGTGTGCCAAGTGCATTTACCACCGTGCCGAAGCCATTAAGAATGACAAGGTCTTCAATGCTTTGTTCCTGGAAGGCGAAGAGGACACCATCGATAAGGCGTTCTTCCAGCCTCTCGGAAATGTCAGCGGCTCCAAGTGACGCAATCAATTTTTCGACCGTTTCCACAGTCATCTTGCGATATGGCTCGCTTTCGTCCTTCAGGTTGTTGACGACACGCTCGAGAATCTCGCCAACACCCACTTTCTGACCCAGGTCCACTGTGGTATCGACAACCTGGCGGTAGTTTCGTCGATCGAGCGCCATACGTCTCATCCAGAAGCCCTTGAAAAACTCCGTCAAGACGTGCTCCTTCAAGTAGGTAGCAGTCACACCTGGGGTGCTTGCACACTGAGAAACCACCTTCAATACGACCTTCTTCATTTCCTCATCTGGTGAGGCAAATTCTCGAATAAGGATCTCCATGATTTGAGTGGTATAATAGTTGGCATACTCTTCGTCCATAAGAGGAATGATATAGCCGACAGCCTTGAGGAAGGCAGAGAGACCCTTGCCACGCTGCTTGCGGGCACCGGTCCAGAGAGGGCTCAGGATGTCATCGAAACTTTCGATACCGTATGGGTTGGCAGCCTCAGCCAAAGAGGCCAGAGATAGAGCGGTGACAGTTCGAACCTTAGCTTGCTCATCGCTGAGGTTACCTGAAACGCATCCAACAAGCTCCTTAAGATGAGGGAGAATGGCACAACCCATGAGAATAGGGATATGTTGGACAATCTTGACACCGGTGTGCCGGGCTTGCCATGACTTCTTACTCCGGCAGACAGCGCGGAGGAAAGGAAGGAGGGCGGGAATACCGAGAGCAGAGGCCACAACAGCGAAGGCGCGTGCTGTTGTGTTTCGCACATATTCATCGGCGTGGTCAATATCAGGACGCATAGTACTGATCATTGTAGCAAGACCGGCAGCCTTGGCAAGGTTCGAGATGATCTCTCGGCCTTCAACACGAGCATAGTAGTCTTGATCAATAAGCAGTGGTTCGATGACGACCAAGATCTTATGGACATAGGGACGGACCAGATCATCCAGTTTGTAGAGGATTCTGTCAATGACCTTCACCAGCAAATGGCGCTCCTGGTCTTCCAGAGTTCTTTCCATGAGCAGGGGGAGAATCTGATTGAACAGAGCTCCAGGACCAAATTCGCGTGCATTGTCTGTAATTTGACGCAGGGCGGTCTTGCGCATGGGTGGGGTACCGTTCTTGATCTTGAGTAGCAATCGCATAATCTTTCGCTCCTTCATTTCTTCCACAGTCATGCTGTTTTCATCGCCACCCTCCATCAGCTTACCGAAGTAGGCCATATCCTCAGCCTTGAAGAATTGAAGTTCACCCACGCCGGGGATATCAGTTGGAAGATCCTTTCCTACAGACTGAACACTTTCAGGCTCTTGCATCATGAATCCTCCGACGCCACCTGCGCTAGACATGGGTGCTGGCGTAGCTGTGAGCCTGCGGGCCTGGGTTCGTATGGGTTCATATCCGGGAGGAGGGTCAAGGACCTTATAGCCATCGGCTTCTCCGGGAAGCATGATATCGAGCTCCTCATCAGACCAGCCGACAACTTGACCGGGCATATCGGCCCCAAATCCGACTGCAGCTGTAGAGACACCTGCTTGAGATGGATGCATGGGAGTGGCGAGTCCTTGGTTGCCGACGGGAGTGGCAGCTGTGAGAGATGGTGCTAGATCCCATCTCGAGCGGCCGGTCTTGGGTGCTTCTTCGGGAGCAGGTGCTTGATCGAAACGCGATCTTTTGCCTGGCTCCCCAGCAGATTCGTCAACTGTGCCCCATCGGTTCTTTCGCTTTTTTTCGGTAGCCACCGCAACGGTCGAACCCGCCTCGGCGTTTTCTTTATCGTGTTCCACCCTCTTCAAGGTAGCCACGTGCTCTGTGGTCTCTTCACCCTTCTCCCGCTTCTCTGCAATCAGCTTTTGAACGCGTTCTTCTTCCCTCTCCATCTCGCGGATGGCCATGATCTCACGGTAGGTTTGACTTTCATTTTCAACATTCGCATGGGCATTGGCAGCGAAGGGGTCGGCGCGCGTCGGGGTCAGGGCGCCACGGTTGAATCGGCGTTTTTGGTAGTCTGTCTCGCGGTCTGCAATTCGCGCCGCCTTTTCGCGGCCTAGCAAAATGTCATCCTCCTCGACGCCGGTTCCTTGCGCCATCTCATCGATCTGGCTTCTGGTAGCAGTGTATTGGCCAACCAGTTTGTGTCCTCCATCCGCATCTTCCATTTCTTCATCGCCATCAACAGCGATCGACGTATCGTAGTTCGAAAACTTCTCAGCTCCATCCCGTTCGTACAAAAAGGTGTCGAAGGACTCCGTCAGGGAGGCTTTGGTCGAGTTATCAGTGCGTTGAGCAGATTGGTCAAACGTCTTGGAGCCCTTTTTAGCACCAGAAGCGGCATTGCGCTCGGCCTGGAGCCGTCGGACAGCCTCGATATCGGCTACAGTGGAAATCAGTATGGGACCAGGCGGGAGAGCTTCCGAAAACTTACCGTCAGACATGGTGACGAAATATTAAAGTCGTAAGGATATGAGTGAGCCTGTATTACCGCAGAAGGGAACACCGCAGCTACATCCGGATTGAAAACCGCTGTAACGGTCACAATAATGGTGATTGAGGATGCTGTGTTGCTAGCCGCCTCGTGATGAAAAGGTCGTGATTAGGTTGCACGTGATTAGACATCTTAGCTCCCGGGTTGGGTATGAGTGATCACGTGAGTTGTGACATAATCATGATTTTGCCTTGGGGCTGGAGGCCAGGGCGGTCAACTGTGTTGACTGGCGGGACAGCGATGTGAAAGGAAAATGGGAAACATCCCCAACAGGAGGGAATAATGAATTGGAAAACAGTCCAAAGAGGCCAAAATGAGAGATTATGGATTATGCTTAAAGGAGATTTGAGCTCTCAAAGCATTTTACATTGTCGCGGGACCAGCTGAGCTACTTACTAGTTGGTTAGAACCTTGGAAACCATTGATATTTCTACCTCGAAGTGCCATTCTCTCTTCTATAATGCTTTGTATTTGATGGCATCGCACATTGTACTTTGTAGCTTATAAATGTATGTGTTGCTGCCTGATTGTCTTCAAATCTGTGGCGCTGCGAGGGCGCTTATGGTCTATTTATGTCCCACATCGGTGTATCAAGGACAGTGAAGGTCTGCATGTACTTTTGTTCCTGCACTTGAAATTAATTGTCTAATTTAGGAATAAAGTTCCTAATATGGCTGGGGAAAAGAGCAGGAAACTCTCCGATAGCCAATGACAGATCTAGACTATACTAGGTGCTTCAAATAAGCGCCTGCAACAGTTCCAGATTCAGAAGGATGTACTTGGTTAATATGCCTTCCAAGGCTGATTCTACTGGTATGTTAGATTGACAAAGACCACCCAATTTTGCCCATATCCCAATTTATTCCAAGATTGTCCAACATCAACGCGACATTTTGCTGGCGGGCAACGGTGCTAGTGTAACTTACAAAGCCCTGTGGTTACATTCTTTCTGTCCTAACCAATGCAGAGTTGAAAATTCATTTCCCATCTCTCTAGCAATCTTTCAAGCTAGGTGGGGTTGACAACAAAGAAGCCAATTTTAGCACACCGTTAAGCCCGCCGGTGTCCCCAGTCAGCAGACTCGGATAATTTCCAAGCTTTACTATGTAGACAACTCAGATATGAACAGCGGTATCAGCTTAGATGGAATCTATCATTGGCCCCCTCAGAGGTTCATTGAACCAGAATCCACCACGCTTGGTTCAATTCGGTTTACGCCGAGAGCCAGGTTACCTGTGCGGCATATCTCAAACTCCGAGCATGTCCTTTGTTACATATTAGAGTAGCCCTGTCAACCTTTTCATTAAATGGGATATATTTCCCTGTTTGTTGGTTTTATCCTTGCCCTTATACCCCAGTTCCTCTCCACAGCCCCAGAACTAGATTTGCTCAAGCAAATTCTAGAAACCGTCTACATCTTATAGATCCAAAGTTGCCCGGTTACCATGAAGTTCTCCTTAGTGCTGCCACTGCTTCTTGTAGCAACAAATGTGGAAGGGAACTCGGGTCTTCCTCATCCTCTAGCTCTCGCTTCCTCATTTTCCCACATCTCCCACCAACTTGACAAGATAAGCATTGGGAACTGCTCTCTCGCAAATGTATCCCTCTCATTGAACGCGACAAAGTCACAACTTCCAGCCCCATCCACGAACCTGACTCTCAAATATGTTGCATTGGGCCGAGGAACACAGAACTATACCTGTCCATCGAATGCTTCCTCAGATTCCAAAACCATCGTCAAGCCCAAAGCCACAGGAGCTGCCGCTACACTCTTCGACGCCTCTTGCATTGCATCGTCATCTTTAGCTCTCCTCCACGAAGTTCCCGCACTTATTAGCACCACTCCTATTGGATCTCTCGCGTTCATGGCAACCCTTGTGGCCCAGGGAACGAGAAGTACCAACCTCATCATTGGCGAACATTACTTTGACGCCGATGGAGACCCGATATTTGACATGGGACTAAGTGGCTCCAAGTCCTGGATTGCTGCTAGCAAGATAGCCTCTTCCCCAGCGCCAAAGTCAAACCCAAAATCCTGCGGTGATGTCCCGTGGCTTAAGTTGGGACACAAGAAGGGAAAGGGTATTCAGGTAAGCTCAGATTATTCACGACGCTAGAGCATGATTATCTGACCGAATTGTTCTAAATAGGAAGTTTACCGAGTTGTGACATCTCAAGGTGACGCGCCCTCTACGTGCGCTGGTCAAAACGAAACGATTCAAGTTGATTATGCTGCAGAATATTGGTTTTACGGGTGACAGAAGCGTGCTGAGTTCCTGTTTCAAGTATATGGTGAATTTTGGATTTTTTTTACAAGCGATATATACGGCTGCGAGAGCAAGTCTTTTCTAATATATGTATCTAGAACTGTGTGGAAAATACAGTTCACGAATTACGTTAAGATTTATCGAAGGAAACAATTTACAACCTCCCAAGTAGGTATTTTCAAGGTTGCATCATGGGATTTCTAATAAATTCGACATCTGAAGTAGCGAGTACACATTTTATAAGGAATACACTCATGAGGAACTCCAAATAGCTATTTCTTCTATTCGTTGTTTGTCAGTACACTCTGAATGACAAGCCCTAGCCTCTCCACCCCCTCAACTAGCCGCCCTTCATCCTCCCACATGAAACAAAGTCTCAGTCTGCGATGCAAATCTCCCCCTGGAGTATCCTCTCCTGGAACTGCAAACGTCTCACCGCCACCCAGCACCAAATTTTGTATCTCCAGAGCCTCTCGGCACACTTGAGTTGCGGTCAATGCGGCCGGAAGCTGAAGCCAGATATAGTATCCCCCCGCGACTGGACTAGTCTCCGGATCAGGAGTAAATGAAACGCCAAAATGACCGAGATGTGTTTTGATTGCCGATGCCAGAATGCAATGCCTTCTGCGTCCTTCGGGGACTAGGGTGTTGGTAATATATTCAGGCAAGAAGCTATCCTCAAGCAGGTCGTTGATGAAAGTTGACGTTAGTTGCGAAGGAGCACCACCAGAGCGCGTAGAGCCACTGCACGTGGATTTTCAGCTTAGTTTCAGGGTTCAGAATGAAGAATGAAGACCCACGCTTGAGAAAGACCATATATGAAGTCTTTGGTCCCTTCAGCCCATCCAACTCGACATCCCGGGCCAATAAGCTTGCTGAATGATCCATTGCTCACGACATTGCCGAATTGATCTTCTGGGCCGCCATCAAGCACCCGATCTATATCCACGAGACGCAACTGGGGATGTCCAAGACCCCAACTGAGAAAATCATACACATCATCAGCGACAACAAGAGCATTGTACTTCCGTGCCACTCTAACAAGTGCCTCGCGCCGCGAATGAGACATTGTGGTGCCCGATGGATTAGAAAAACTCGGAACACAATATATAACATGCTTGTATATCTTTCTATACGGCCTGTCGAGCTTGTATGTCTTCTCCTGTTTCCATTAGCATGGATTATATGGGAAAATAACTAGCTTAGTATGAAAAAGGCACATACACAACCAGCTTGATAGAGTAGATCTCCACGATCAAATGCTTCCAAATCAAGTTCAAGTGCAGCAACATCCATCCCCTCCCCGTCCTCAGGTATCCCTCGCATCCGGCCACTGAGCCCAGCATCCTCGAATACCCGGAAGACAAGATGATATGTTGGCTCCACGAACCATATAATCTCTGTCTGCGCTGGGTCCGTGAATACTTGCAATACACATGCTAGATTCTGGCTGGCACCGCCAGTAATGCATATCCGCTCTGCGCTGATGGGCTGCACAGGCGTATAGGATTGGGATAGCCACGCTGCTATGTTCTTTCTTAGAGGGAAGTAGCCTTCGTCAGGGCCATAGGCAAATCCTTCGGTGAATATGGCTTTGTTGGATAGGGCGCTGTTGGCTGCTTGTTTGAGACGTTCCACTGGAAGCATGGCCGTTGCGGGCCATCCCTGGAAAAGGTCGATTTGGATCGTAGGTACCATCTCTGATGATAATAATGACAGATATTTTTGAGAAATCTGGCTTGCTCTTATATTTGGGGCTTGGATGACTTGTACCATTCTTGCTTCGGGAATATAAGCGATCTGGCCAATCACATTGAATATCCACTATCATTTCCCCAGATAAAATGGACAATTGCTCATACCGTGGATTCTATTACTTGATTTCTTCTCTCTTGTCTACTCTACTCACCAAATATCGCTCAAAGAGAAGCGGTTCTCTTATTGATCGTATTGCTAAATAAGGAAAACCCTTGAACGCCCGCAAGAAAGCCACTTTCACGATTGAGACCAACAATAGGCCAGCGCCAGGATGAATGCAAACGCAAAGAATAAAATGTCACCAGACATGATGTAAACCCAGCCGCTCAAATATCAAGGGGCGGAATTGCAGTTTATGCAGAAAACGCCGGTGTACGCCCCCACCCTGCCATCTCAAGCCATCCCATATTTCAAACACACCACGGACCAGCTCCGGCCTGGGAGGAGCTAAAGGTTTATACATTGTCATCCTCATAGACAAAGTTGATGTCACGGATGCGACGGCGGTTGGTAGAAATGAACTCCTGGTCACCGGCGGGTCGCTCGTTGCGAGTGTTGGCGGTCAGCATGCTCTGAAGGCTCATGCAAACGCTCTCAACTGTCTGCACTGGGGACCAACCGGCGGAGCCCAGGAGGTCAAGGCAGATAATGCCATTGCTGTAGATATGGGGGTGCATTGGGATTGTGCGGGGTGTACCAGTGGAGTCAGGACATTGGATGAATTGGACCTCTGGGGGTTCTAGAATGATTGTGTCAAAACCCAGAATGATCTGATAAAAAGACGAGACAAAGGCAAGAGGGATGGAATGGAGCTACCGAGAGACGATAGAGACAGAGGCTGCTGAGAAGATGGAACTTACCAATAGGGTACTTGTTACTGAAGGTAAACTTCAGGCGATAAGTCTGGTCCAGGTAAAGTGGATTCTGGTCAAGGATCTTGATGTCCATTTGCCATTCCTCTAGATTGTCACATTTCACGATTGTAATTCCCGGTGGGACATGCTCTTTCATCTAAAAAGCCATAAGAGGTCAGAAAAACATGTTCATAGAATGAGCAATATGTAAGGGTGCCATGGTATGCTCTCAAAGTATGCCATCGGCGGGAACAAAGGCGATAAGACCGAGAGGAAAACGGAGGAATTGGTACCTTAATGAGCTCCTATAGGTCATGAATATAGAGTCAATAAAATGTGCATTCTAGTCCCCTTCAGATCCAGAGTATGACTTACCTTGCTCAGACGCTTTGTAGCGAACATTGCTGCGATGGTTGAAAGAAAAGATTTAGATGTGTGAGCTCCGGTGGAGAAATGAGGGGCGGTGTCTCGATTAGGTGGAGTAGAGTAAATGTATGACGTGAAGACGGGAAAGCGAGGAACCTCTCAACAAGTGGGATGAGAATGAACTAAAGAATGTATATGAGATGTCTAAAAGAGAAGAGATATTGTTGAAAGTCCAGTGACGGTGTAAAGCTAGCCTTAAGAAGTGGGGAGATTATATATCGGTACACGTGATATCGACACCTGACTCTATATTGCTCATGTCACATACTACTTTTATACTTGATAGATTTCTATTTTATTCATAAACTTCAATTTGTATATAGGGACCGAAGCTGGGAAGGTGAGATACCACAGGGGTTAGACCAAAACATCTCGACTTGAGCATGCGGCTCCGGATTCAAATTATATAGTTATTACATATGTAGTCAGGCAGCGATGCGATATTGAGCAGTATATATCAGCGAATAACAATAGTCGCTTATGTGGCCTTTTTAGAAACCTCATATATACCCCCCCTTTATTGGTGTTACCTCTATAGATCAAGGTTGGAATATAGAATTTAGTACCTAGCTTCCATCTATAGCACGTGAGATGCTTTTATTAGACTTTGAAAATTTCCGTGACTTATATAGGATAGACGCATGATTAAAATAAGTCTTGATCCAAATAGTAAGAGCAGTGGTGATTGCTTAAATATTGTATGTTCACTCTGATTGACTATGAAAAATGGGAATCACAGAACTATAGCCAAGAAACCGCCAGGCACACAAAAGAGAATAACAGGGCAGGATAGGCGTAGGAACAGCATATGGACAAGATGTAAGATATAAAGGCGACAAGAAAGATGGTAAACAATTTAAGCAGAGCCAGTCTTCTCACGAGCTTCACGTTCAATCTTCTCCCGCTCCTCAGCCTCCTTCTGCTCGCGAACCTTGGCCAGCACAACTTCACGGAAAATAGCACCGCGAGCAGCGCTTGCCAGACTCTTCTTCTTGGCGTGGCCAGGGGTAGGGACAGGACTGGCATCGTCGTTTGACACTGGTGGTTCAGCCACACTTGGTTCTTCGGATGAGGTGCCCATGTCCATGGGGCTGGGGATATCCTCTCCGTCCTCTTCCTCGTGCATCTTGAGCGACTCGATACGGTTGGCGAGCTTGACGATCTCGATTCCACGGCGGAGACGGGCACGTGCAATGTAGGTGCGGATTTCAGGCAGCAAGTCACGGTCGCTCGCAGTCTTTCCAGTAAGCCATTCGTGCTTGAGGGCTTCCTCTGAGGTAACTCGCTTGCTGGGGTCCGCGTTCAAGAGAGTGAGAATGAAATCTTTGGCGTCCTGGGACACGTCGCGCCAGTACCGCTCGTGGAAGATGATACGGCCTGTCCGGCATTCTTCGATGAGGTCGGTCAGGTTCTCGGATCGGAAGGGGGAGTAGCCACACAGGAGGGTATAGGTGATGACACCGAGGGACCACATATCGACAGCCTTGCCGTGGCCCTGCTTGAGCATGACCTCGGGGGCAGCATATCCAAAGGAGCCAGCCATGCTGGTCAGAACCTCGGAGGGGTCATGTAGCATCTTCGCGATACCGAAGTCTGCCAAGACCAATTCAGAGTCGGCGGCGCGGGTGAGGTAGAGAAGGTTCTCGGGTTTCAAGTCTTTTATAAAGGTTAGTTACGCGGAAATCGCTAGTATGACTCAAGAAGACCGACCTCGGTGAACGATGTTGCGCTTGTGCAGATAGTTCACGGCATCAAGTACCTGGCGGATGGTCTGCGACGCATCTTTCTCAGTGAACTTGCCATAGTCGCAGATCCGGTCGAACAACTCGCCACCGGTGGCTAGCTGTGTAACGATATAAAATTTGTCCTAGGTCCACGATTAGAGCTCCACATCGAACAGGCCAACCCATAGATATGTGCTCACCTTTGATTCGAACCAGTCGACAAATGAGACAATGTGGGGATGTTGGAGTGATTGCAGCATCTCAAGCTCATCGTAGACCATGTTCTCATTGCCACGAACATTTTTCTTGAGAATTATCTTGATCGCAACTTTCTGTCCCTCGGTGCTATCCGCCTCGCGAACAATTCCGTATGTACCTGCACCCAGCGTCCGTCCGAATCTATAGAGAGCCCTACAGCCAGCCAAAAAAGAATATGTCAGCGAATGTGGGGTAAGGGCGCTAGGGTAAGGAGGCCGTACTTCTTTTCGTAGCTCTCTGGCTGTCCGGACAGCTTGTTGAGCATGTTTGCGACTGGAAGAGTACGAGTTAGTAAATTGCGGGGCCGCTCAGATGAAACGCGCAAGACAAATGAAGCAAAGGACCCCTGGAGGAGCCGACCGAGGGGGGAGGACATGAGAATTGCGAAGCAGACCGTGACACAAAATGACAGCTAGGAATCCTCCTAGCCCCCATATATCCCACGGAGAGCTGACAGGAAGGGTGTAGATCGACATGGCAATTCCAACGCAGTGAGGTGTCAGATTGGGGATAATGCTGACGCGAAGCCGGACAATATTCGGGCAACACCAAATGACGAATCATAGCAAGATCAAATAGAGAACCAAGTCCCATAAATCTGGAATATCGACTCACAACTCATGATGTGGGGATAGGGCTGTAGATGCCCAAGGTGGTAGATGTATGTGATGGGCTCGAATGGGCACGACCCGTTAGGTAGCAACGAGTAGAACGAAGAAGAGAGGTTAGGATTCAAGGATTGAGGGTTTTATCGAAAATGGAGTCCAATCTAAGAGAGAATAACGGTCAGCGATATCAAAAATATAGAAATGCCGAATTCGAGGGGTGTGCGCGGGGGTGGCTGGACCCAAACAGAGTAGACCTACCAGAACAACGGATTGATAACTGAGGATCAAAGATCACTACTCAATTGTAATCTTGGAAGTCAGAGGAGATGAATAAAAAAAAGTGTAAAAAAAAGCTGAAGAGAGGGAAGATCAGTTCTAGACGCGATAAGACTTGAGGGATTCGGGACTGTAGGGTTTAGCGCCAAGCACAGCCACAACGGGAATGTTACTGCCTCCAGGGCTGAGATTCGGCGCTAATAGTATTAATATAAGTTGTTAAAGGGGACAGTAATGCAAAAACATGTTTCCAAGTATTAGTATTAACAGCCTATAGCTATATGCTACTTTAAAGCAGATATGTCGCTAGTTACAAGGTACATATGTACATGTATGCGAATTCACCGTTTTCTATCTCAGCAAAAATATATATTTTTTTCAAATTCAAGGTTGGGACATAAAAGATTCAAGACCTATCTATGTAGCACTTCCACTACTTTATAACATAGACAATCCAAAAAAAAAATGACACCAACATGTTAATTTGAAATGGAAATTAATATAACAGCCCTTCCATGATTGGCAATAAACAATCCGGCCCCACCAGGTGCCTTGCCTGCCACAGCGTCACCAGACGTCATAGGCTTAAACAAGAGGTATATTAAGTAGGCCTATTCTATGAGATTTGCTATCAACTTGAACTTTGAATCATGATATCCTTCCTCTTCTTCCTTACCTTCCAGGTAATTCTACTTGGCGCTTGGGTCGCTGGTTATCTAGACCCATACCAGAAACAGCTCCAAGAGCTTTTGCTTGACTACATGGGCGAGACAAAGGTGTCTTATGGACTGAAAAGTATGTTAACCCGAAGAAGAAAAAAGAAGTATACTAACTAGAGTTCATCTAAAGAGAGTCTGACTGGCAAGAAACTCACCGAGGATCAGAATCTAAGCAAGATTCAAGATCAACTCGGGAATCAATTGGGTGGCATGTTTGGGAAAGGTGGTCTGGGAGAGGGACTTGGCTCTGTTTTGAGTAAAGGTCTTTAAGGAGGTTAGGACGAAGGATGAGAATAACAAACTGACTTTTGGAATTGAGATTAAGATTAAGAAAGAAATTCAACAGGATGTTTTCCATGCAACCTTCACCCAACCAGTAATATACAAAAGACCATAAGATCTTTTGTACCAAACAAAGTGAGCGAAGATGCAATATTTTCAGTATACCCGATGGCATACTCGACTTCGAACCACCTCGATCCGCAAACCAGGTTGATCAAACACGTCTGAGACCATGGTGATACCCATGATCCGAATGGTCAACCACTCAGGCAGATTGAGCATTTTGAATTGAAAGGCTCCAATGCCATGAAACCGTATCAGTAGTTTCACGACACCCAACCTCCGAAAAAGAAAACAAGCAATGAGACCTCACCGCTTGAACCATTCGCGAGATCCATAACCCGTCTCACCAAGCTCGGCCAAAGCAGTTTGGCAAAGCTGGTCATAGTACTCAGTTCCCTTCCAGAGACTATGCTTTGACCGAATACCAATCCTCCAATTCTCTTCCCTGAGGCGCTTAATGCGCTGCACCTTAGTCTCAATCCGAATAACGTTTCCATACCCATCAATGTTAGGTCCCTCGATCACAGGAGGTTCCTGTGGTTCACCGGGATTAGACTTGACGGGAGAAAAAGTCCAGAAGGAGGCAGAGCGGGCCATGGTCGTATTGCGAGAGCGACGAGCCTGCTGAAGGTCCGCGACATGCTTGATCTGCTTGCGGAGCCCGGTAACGTCGGCGGGAATGTGCTCACGGAGCCACTTAACGGCGCTGTTGAACTCATTGATCTGGGCGACGCGCGCGGCGCTGACAGGTGCGGGGGAAGGCTTTGTGGACCGCGATGAGAGCCACTTGGTGCTTTTCTGCTCAGGCGAGCCTGCGCGGCTGGTAAATGGCGAACCTAGGAAGGGGACCTTTTTTCTCAAGATGGGGGTGGGTGTTGGTGGAGGCGTGGTCATGGGCGAAGGGAGGACGGGACCTAGACACTTAGGCTGCGGTGCTAGGGTTAGAAAGTTTGTCTTCTCTGTGTTAGCATTCAGGTGCCCCGTTGGGTTTATCTTCAAGGGCAGCCGGGGAGGGCGAGCTCGGACAGGTCGATTCACCTCAGACTTGGATGTCTCCTGCTCTGGATCTCTGCAGGTTACCATTGTAGAGCTGTTGCACATGTGCACTTCACCGGAGCTCTTCCGGATTGCAAGTGGGGGTGGGATAAGCGCGCTACGCTTTACTGGATCCTCAAGTCCAGCTGGAAACTTGATCGGAGACAGACGCATTGGTGGCTGATTTGGGATGCGAGGTTTTGGCGGCGTGCGGGTCACAAAAGGGTCGTCGCCTCCCGCCATAATAGAGCTATCAATCATTAGGGCAATGCTTCGGACGATAGATCCCCCGCTGGGAAGCCCATCTCTGTCACTATTAAAAGAGATCAATTGGTCTCTCGTAGCTGGGCGAGGAGAAACATCGCTTGGTGGAGGAGGGGGCTTGCGCGTTGGAGGTGGAATATGAAAAGCCGGAGGAGGAGCATCATAGTCAAGACGTGAGACTTCCCGAGCAGCAGGAGGTGGTGTGACACAGAAAGCAGTGGTAATAGTCGAGTTGGAAGAGGAAGAAGGAAAAGGGACAGGCGAAGGAGGTGTGCGAGCCAGCCCAGCATTATGAGCCGACAGATTCTCAACTGACAGAGCTTCAGAATTCGGACCAGGACCAGGACCTGGAGCAACATCACGGTCCAACAAAGGTGGACTCCATACAACAGTAGTCACAGAAGACCGAGGAGACGAGTTAGGCGAATGGAGAAAAGTAACTGGCGAGTATGTCTGGTTGGGATTCAGAACCGGCAGCGGGATAGCGGCTGGCAAAGATTCATAGGCAGTCTGAAACTGCTCCATGGCAGAAGTCAGAAGCGGGACTTTGACAGCCGAAAAGATGTGAGCTGCTCGTCCCATATACTCATATGAGGTGGCTGCATAATAGTGGAGGTAGGTCGCACGGATCGGATGGAGCTATGTATACACCCGTTAGGGGTCAGAGTCTGAGATGAGATCTGTGAAACACAAACCGGATTGGACGCGGTGTCTATGAGCTGATTGCAACGCAAGACACATTGTTTGTATTGGTGGTTGAAACATAGCCATTTCACATTGGCAAGGGCTCTCTTCCATTCGTAGGAATTCCGTGGAGGAGAGAAGATACCAAGGGGCAACGAGGCCTCTGATGGCTTTTCTGAAGTATTCGAGGATGAAAGGGAAGCCATTTTGGAAGCAAAGAGAAGTAGTGACAGAGGAAAGAGAGATGGGATACGAGATGGGATATAAGAGGAAGAGGAAGAAGAGGAGGAGGAGGAGATGGGAGAAGAGATGGGATACTGGACGGTCTACCTCCCCAAATTGAAACTTGGGCACTTGGGGCACTAATTCAGAACTTGTTAGACAAGTCCAGTGCCCATGCCTCTACCTTGTTTGGTCTCAAGGCTATATAGGCGTAGCTCCAATGATATTTTTACGGGCAAAGAAAGTACATATTTGCAAGCAGTGCCTGCATGATCCTTGGAAACATGCGTAAAGTGAACATATTATTAGTCTCTGGAATTGTAGATACTAACATGAACCTCAACATTTCGGGCCTCCTTGAATGCATTCCGACTAAGGATATTTACTAGTAATAATATCCCACAAGCCCATGAAGTCATTTAGACATGCTCAGCAACACGAGCACCGTTCGTCTCATGTTTGATACCGGCCTGTGACAATGCCTCACCAGTCGCCGAAAGCGACTCTAGGAAATCACCCAGCAAACGGTCAAGTTCTGCTGTCACCACACCATCATCCATACCTTCCATCAGACCTGCTGCACTTGGGGGATTGAGAGCCGGGAAAGGAATTGGTCGCTTATCTTCTGCCTGTGACATAGGGACTTCAGATACATCGTGTCGTGCATGTCGTATAGTTTCGAACACCGGAGTGTCGAACACGGGAGATCCCGGCTCTGAAACCGGGCCCGAAGTCACCGAGGAAGCAGTGGGGGTTTGGGGAATTGGAACGGCTGTGGGTAAAGCTGTCATACTATCTTCAAACGAGGAACCCCCGGAGTGCGCCCTCCATGTAGGGTGAGATTCCTCGTCCGGTCCGGGGCCATCGAGGATCCCGGAACCCTCATATTCATTATAACCGGCTAGTTCCATCATAGCGGGGAGTTCTGTATCGAAAAAATGACTGTGATGAAGAGTGTTTGCGCCCTCTGGGGTGTCGGGGCGATCGAAGCGGAATGGATCGTAATCTGAGTCGGAGGTATTTGATGCCGAAGTTGAAGGACGAGAGTCACCTGGTTCATCTGTTGGCTGTGGTTGCGACTGCGGCGGAGGCTGGACCTCAGGCAGTGGAGCTCGGAGGGTGTCATGTCGGTCATCGTATGTTTGGCTTTCGGGCACGGATCCCATGACTGGGAATGTCCACTGCATGGTGGCTCGCTTTTCAGCCTGGAAAGACTCCTCCGTTATGGGCTTCTGTGCAGGAACCTCCTCTTCTTTTTCTTCTTCCGATTGTTCCTCTTCATCTTGTATGAATGACGGGAATTTCCAGTCCATGGTGGGAGGTCGAGGACCAGATGGCACGAAGGTATCTTCGAGGTTTCGATCATCATCCACACTGCTGCCAGCCACACTGATATCAGACGATTTTGAGGTGTTCTCAGAGGAGGTCCTATTCAACCGAAGACTGGAACGGTTCGCGCGGATAGTGTTCGCATCAACCAATTGGAAAGGCTGCGCAGATGGAGCCCCTGCTGCGTAGTGTGAGGCCTCGAATGACCCGATGTCGATATCGAGAAAAGTTGATGTGACAGAGGAGCGGTCTGTTTCCGCACGGAGGGGAAGATCTGAAGTGGGTTCGATGGGGACAAAGTCGTTTTTTGTTTCGTATGTATAGCTGGGCTTTCCCTCATCAAACAGGCCTTCCATTGCCTCGGCACCTCGGCGCACACGTTCATCGAAATTGGCCTTATCTTCATAGTTAAGATCGTCCTCCGAAAACTGTTCATACATGTCCTGCTCAGGCCCTGCATCGGTAGGACTGGTTGATTGCTCCATCTCCGCCAGCGAGGCGGCAATCTCATCCAGGTCAATGACAGAGAATCTTCGTTCGAACCCATCTGTTGTACTAAAATTCCAGTCATCTTCTGACTCCTCGATGCCTGGGAGTTCAGCTGCCTGGGCGCCGCCTGGGTGGAACAAAGAAATACGCTGGCCTCCTCGCTGAGACCACTGGTAGTAGTTCCTCACCAACTCACTTACAGATTCGGTGGGATATTCCTCCTCTGTATCAGCAATGTAGGGGTGGGAAAGGATATCTGCCATAGTGGGGCGAGTGTCCGGATTGGAGTCAAGGGCGTAGGCAATAAGATCTTTCAAGCCTTGGCTGTACTGATCGCTGTCCAGCTGGGGAGTTTTGCGATTAAGCTGGCGACCGATTTGCATTCGTTCTCGTAGGCCCGCGTTTGGTGGGTTCCCGTTCGCGAATTCGAACAATGTGCACCCATATGCCCACACATCAATTTCACTCCCGTAGAGATGGGCCTCTCCACGAGTTGCAAACATCTCTGGCGGCATCCAGTGCGGTGTTCCAATCCAGGTTGATCGTTTGTCCCGCTGTGATTGTAGAACACCAGCAACACCAAAGTCACAGATTTCCAGACGACCCTCTTCATGAATGAGAATATTTGCAGCCTTCACATCGCGATGAATGACCCCAGCTTCGTGAATAGCACGAAGTCCAACAGCCAGCTCACGAGCGATTGGAATGATGTATTTTTCATCCAGCTTGTCGTTTGTTGCACGCATCAAGGTACGGACACTGCCACCGGGGCAGTACTCGCAAACCAGCCACAATTGAGAGTGGATTGAGATGGCTTCAATAATTTCGTTGATGTTTTTGGCACCAGAGTCCTTCACTTGCTTCATCACCTTAGTCTCATGGATGAAATCCTTTATCGACTCATCTCGGAAATCTCGAAGCGACTTGTAGTCCAGCGAGTCAATATCTAGGACTTTGATGGCAACCAGACGACCTGATGGTTTTTGGTGACCTTTGTAAACACGACCATAGGCACCTTTGCCTATCAACTCTTCAAACTCGTATGGCGGAACCTCAGTTTTCGCACGACGACACATCTCTTGGACGGCCACCCCTTGTTCACGAGCTAGCTTGATTGCTTCTGCTTTGTGCCTGGTGATGGCTGCCATTGCAGAGGATGGGTCCAAGAGACGGGATGTTCGAGAATCCATTGCGAGTAAAGACGATCTTGAAATGAGCCAGGTATGGAGACAGGTGTAAAAGTGAGAAAGGAGTAAAGATAAGAATGGGGGTTGAGTGAGTCAGGTTTGAAGTGAGTGTAAAGATATGCGGCTCCTCTGGCGTGGAGTTAATGATTGAATGTGGATGAAGTGCCCGGGCGTTTATGGGGTTGACAAAGTAGATGTTTGACCTTCTTAACAAAACGTTTCAAGGCTTTCTTGCACTTTCGTGCGCTCCTTTTCCCTGAGGCGAAAGAGGTTGCCGACGGACGAGAAGATATACGGAGAGGCGTCTTTTGGTAATATCGAGGGGAGGCTGTTGGTGTGGGGCGCCCTTCAAAGATAGGCTTCAATGAGCGCTGCCTTCTGACCACGTAGCTGAACGGACGAACTCGTGGGGGAGATTCAGGGAAAGCAGTGTACTTATATGCGCGATTCTGGGCCTGGTGGGAGCTGTGAAGCCTCGCTTGTTGTCTCTGGTGATGGCCGATGGGGGGATGTAGCTCTCTGAAAGAGGCCCTGGGGGACAGGGAAGAGACCCGAAAAGAAACGTTCCGAGTGTTAACGATGGTTGGAATATCGATAGTAGACGACAGAGGGATTCCAGAAGAACTAGTTAAGTTATTCCCAGGCTGACTGGTGTCGAGTGCAGATGTACTAGCTTTGGCACAAACGTTGGAAGAACCTTGCTCTCTGATCGGGTTATTATTATCCAATTCTTCGGAAAATCGGGAAACCCGAGGTGGGCTGGTCACAGATTTGATATGATTACTGGAGACAGTCGAGGTGTTAGCCTGGGCACTGTCTTTCGGTAGCACTCGTTTGGAGTCAGAAGAAACGCGGGAGAAACTTTGGTCCCCGACCGTTTGGTTGTGACTGGGAGGTATTGGAAATGATTCAAGTAGTTTATCAAAGCTCCCAGGTTCCTTTAAAGTCCTCGGGTCCTGGGATGTTTTGCAATTGCCTTGGGTTCCAAAGGTCTCGTTGAGTTTGAAAACAGAGTCGGGCGGCTCACCTGTTTCGCTATCATAGACTGATGGGCTCGGAGGTCCAACGGATTCAGGGTGTGCAACGTTATCCGATGCCTTATTGTGCTCAGGGGGCACAGAGGACTCAAGGCAGGGATGCTCGTCTGATACAGCCCGTTGCAGTAACTCGGAAAACAGAGATTCTGAATCGGTTGCGATGAGAGAAGTCCCCTCTTCTTCGTAGTGAACTAGGTCTCTGTCTTCTAAACCTTCGCGCAAGCCACTAGGACGACGATGGGTGGGTGGTAGATGAAATTGATTGGCACGTTCACTGCAAGGGCGGTAGGTTAGTCAGTGAAACTCACCCACTAAGCGGAGGAATAGCTTGCCAGAGCCTAGTAGATGCAATTCTGCGAGCAATACTAGTAGAACTGAGTTGGGCAGATTGATATCGACTGTGACTGGGCTCTAGATCTGTACCAGGAAGCCCAGCAAATGGGTCGGATGAGCCGAAAAGACGTAACAAGAATTGATGTTCGCTTGGAGGAAACCCGAGCTCCTCAATGAGATTTTGGATGCTGGGAGACTTGTCAGCCATTCTGTCTCAGAATTACATGGACAGTATATCAATCGAGTCCGGGGTCAATTTGATGATGGGAGAAGGGCAGTGGGGATGAAAGCAATCGTGTCGCGCCGTCAACCAGTTTGAGACCTACCTGGTCGCTTATTTAATCGAAAGACGAGCCACCACCTGGGAAACCCGAAAATCCATGTAATCGAGTAGACACGCCGAGTCTCTCCATTTGCCCTTCCGATATAGGATGCTTCGTATGGGCAACGGCTTTGACAGTGAACTAAGGCAGAGACGAATATTTCAGTGCCCACAGCCTGATTTACACAGCTTCCCGCCTAATAGTATAAGACTTGAGGCGTGTGGATATATTGAAGAACAGGGCGACAAAGACCGGCTGCCAGATGTTGTTGGCGATGTTGTGGCACGTGATATATACACCCTTATCGTGATCGTAAGGAGCTGACCGCTTTGTCCACTCCTTTTAGGGTTGGAATTCTGACTGCCATTAGGGAGCTTTCAGACTAGTCCACCGGGCCTAGAAGTTCTGGCTCCTACAAATGATATTAGTAAGGGTTGGTGTAGAACCTGACTGTCTTTACATTTCCTTAGACATGCTGTTCTAAGTATTATTTATTCAATGATTCCTACAACGATCCATGGCAGATCTTATCGCTTATCGTGAATTATCGCGAAGGCTTATCGCTTTTTTTTTGTTGCTCTGCGAATGCTCCTACATATATGCACGTACCCCGTCCATGTGTAGTCATTATACTGAAATTAGGCGTCAAGAGGGGATTTACATATCAAAATATAGGCAAGTCTGGCTAGGGTTCTATGTTGCAAGCTGTGGTTATTGTGATACCCTGGGATGATGCGGCGGTAGCATTACCCGGGAAGCACGATAGGCCCGACAAACAAGGCCTCTTAGGCCGACAGGTAATTGCGTTTAGTAGGGCAATCAATCATACTTATGCTGAGGTAGTTTCAGAGTTAGTCACAAACCCATTGGTTTGCTGCATCTCGATTACATGAATACCCGATAGGGATATCAGCTCGCTACGCGTCCTACCTACCGCGTGTCATGGGATCAATCAACCTGCTTCTAAATACCAGAAAGGGTAAATATGACCTAATGCAAATCGATCTATCCAATTTACCTAACTGTTTATATACTATGTGTCTCTCACTAAGTGCTTGGTTTCTGTAATTCTACTTATACCCACAATGTGGCATTTGTAATGGAGAAAGCGTGCTTCAGGCAACGCCAGCCGCTACAACAGCCGATGACCATATCCATTGCCAACCTAGCACAGTCGCCACTGTAAAAATCCGCCCCACGCACTTGCAGCTTATAGGAGTGTATTATATTGAGTTACCAGAGAGAAAATGGTTTTAGACATGCATACGGTATTGTTATTATCGTATATATATCGTCAGGTCAAGTGGTGCTAATTGCAACAGGCTTGACAGTCCAGGATGTGCTGGAGCTTACCCCAAAGTTCTTTAAGATGCATATGGATCACCTAGCTGCGCTTGATGGTGGGGCTTTTACTCTGCTCACCATCCAGTGTAACCTCTTTGTTGGGACAGTAGCCCCGCTTGCTATAAATCGCCCAGAGCTTCAGTCAATCCTCCAGTTTGGTATGGACTTCGACATTTCGTGAGTTTCATATACAAGTATTCAATTTTAGGAGGGGTAACTGACCAGAATATTTATACAGGGCACAGTTTATGTTGACCGAAGTCAATCATGGATTAGATGCGCGAAACATACAGACAACTGCTACGATTCTATCTAATGGTGATATTGACCTCCACACCCCGTCTCCAAATGATGCAAAGTAAGTTACTTTCCTTGAGTTTTGTTTGAAAGGGGCCAAAAGACAGCCGTCAGAGTTATGCCACCAACTGCCCCGAGATGTGGCATTCCCGTAGTCGCCGTTGTAATGGCTCGTCTTATAAACGAAGAAAAAGATCGTGGAACCCGACCATTCCTTGTCCAAATTGGAGATATAAAAGAGATGTGCAAAGGTGTTATAGCAAAGTAAGTTCTAAATGGTGTCGTGTTATCGAATCTAATCTGTGGGCCATGTCGTTAAGATAGGGCATCGCCTCCGTGTACCGGTGCTCACCCAGTTGACCACACCCTAACGTACTTCAATCACCAAAGGGAGATGGAATCTCAAGCGGTACATACCCTGCTCCCAGATTTAGAAAATATCATGCTGGCTTCAGGACTGCAGGCTTATAGCAATGCTCCTATGATATCGAAGGGCTCGTGGAATGAGTTTGCCGCTGGATTGGAAACGTTTGAGGGAAATGCTACACCCCATTTACTATCTCGGCTTTAAATTGTCTATGTGTCGAATATATTAAAATTGCGTAAATAAATCATTATAATTATGTGGTAAGGGATGCAAGACTCTATAGTGGGCTAGGTAAAAGAACATAGTATATGTTATACATCAAATCCTATAAACAGAAGAGAGCCCAGATCACAAAGATGGAAAGAGAGAGCCGTAGGCCTGCGCCTTCATCGATGCGGAAGCCGATGGACTTTTCCTTCTCACTATCCTCTTTGGCTCCTGTGTCATCTGCGTCATCTTGCTCCAATTTAGCCTCACTGACTGCATCCATGCCAGTCGTGATTTCGAGAATTTCATCTTCATCGGAGTCCCAGTTCCTCTGCGCTAAAGAGACTTCATCATTGCCCATATCATAGACAGCGTAGACCTGTTGAAGGAAGTTTGCTCCAAGCACAACACTTTTTGCATCCTTAGAATCAGGTCCAATCGCGACAATGCCCAAATAGCAGATGTCCTCATCATTGAACACGCTACGTGTTTCTATGAACAGACTAATGTCTAGCTTGAAACTCGCAACTCCGAATTTGAACGTGAGTGTTGTATCACTAGAAGTTTTATTGCATGGGATAGGCATTGGCCCGAACATTGGGACGTAAGTGCCCAATTGAGAGGATATCTCCTGTGCGATGGACTCCGGAACAGAGGTATAAGACAACGAGGAGTCAAGTAGAGCTTGTGTCGAAACCCCCTCGGGGAACACCGATGTCTCGTTGATGGAAAAGCTCGTCATGTTGACCCGGAAAGTCTTTCTATCATCGGCAGGGTTGTTGACGATTGGAAGTGTGTGGAGTGTGCCATTGTATTTGGATTTGTTCACACCACCAAAAATCAGAGCGCCTGGTTTCTCACCCCGCGAGTCTCCTGTAGATACAGAATGTAGAGGATTTTCCATATACATGCTGAAGGCCGGGGATTTGATGGTTCTAGCATCAACCAATGCTTTAGTAAGGGAGATAAAAGACGAGTTCGTCTCGCCATATCCTAAGCCGATAGTGTCTATCCAAAGAAATTGGTTAAACACAAATAAGATTATATAGACATGTAGGCTTACTCTGGGTGGTATCCACATTCAGAATCCCGATCTTCATAGACTTCACGGTTGTGTTTCCAATGACAAGAGTATCGGTCACAAATTCTCCAGTGATGGAAAAGAATGATTCAATCGACTTGCTAAGGGTGAAATTGGAATGCAGATCATTCACGCTAGTAGAAAGGCTTGTGTTATAGCCACCGGAGCCGCTGCAGTGTTTATCGCCTCGAAGCATACCACAAACACGTTTAGTCGTTCTGGGCACCCAGCATTCATTGCCGACTATCCGAAATGCTACATTGATGTTCTGCGGCGGAGTGCCTAGTGAGATGCTGGTATAAAAAATATTTTCCTGAAAAGGTAAGAGTCAGTCCAAGTAAATATTAGAATCAAGACAAAGGCATCATACATCATTGCCCATTGTAAGAAGAACTGTATCCCCCCTCTTTGACTGGGTCTTAGCAACCGATTTTGCGACTTGCTTGTGTTTCAATGGCACATTGAACACAGCAGGCGTCTCTTTTTTTTCCAGAGACAAAGCATCTGTAAAAGAGGTGCCCAGTAGGGCCCAGAGCCACGACCCACTGCGCATGTCGATCGGCAATTAAACGTGGGGATATATTATATAGCTCAGCTTTGTACGGAGTACTGGGAATCATTGGATTTGAATTCTTAAGGGGCAAAATTAAATCGAGACAAATTGACGCTAAACCTCTAGCTTAAGCAGAATTGTCACTTAGCTTCAGCAACCTAACTCAGCTTAGTTGCAATTGGACTCGCTTATCAAAGGAAACTTTTAGCGATTGGGTGGCGCCCGCTAGGCGTCTGAGGGGGTCTATTTTGGGGATTGACTAAAATCAACTTTGGACGCTTATGATGAGGTGAATTATAGAAATCCGTGTATAGTATATGGTTAAAAGACAGTGTTTCGTTTCTACCCGAGCAAGTTTGGCGTTCAGCAAAAACAAAGACAAATTAGCACTTGCAAGAATAGGCGCCAGCCACGTATGAAGCCTTATATAGTATTTTTTGTAGTTTTTTATAGTAGGGGTTTTTTTAGTCTCAGATATTCTATTTACAACATAAATGTCTTTTAAGATATTTTCTCCCCCTTCATAGTTGTATAGGTAGGCGGTAGAAAAAGGCGGAAACAAAAGCATACTTTATACTCTTGGTAATCTTCTTCATAGACCCGTCTAGTAGTTTCTAATAGATAGTTCTTATACGAAGTGGATAGTTCTAGTATTTTGCTTTTGCTTGTTCTGGAATATCTGCGGCATATCCGGTACTAATTCTAGATTTGATCGAACTAACGAGATATATATCCATTTGTAGATACAGCACTACCAAAAAAACTAATCTTCTTTACCCCCACAGTTTCGGCCATAGTTAGTACATTGTTGCTTTTACAGAAAGATGCAAAAATTGGTGCATGTACAGCGCCGAGGTTATACAATAGAGGGTGAATCGGTTTGGAATTATGAGATTTACTGCTGGTGACTTTACCCATGTATCTGTAGTATTCTGCATCATCCCCTTGATGGGCTACTGCTTTGCTCTAGCAGACCAAACATGACTACAATAATGGTATGACAGAAAATGTGTCAATTTTCTGGAATTTCTCAGTCAGGATCCCATGTTAGTCGTATCCAAAGGCGTATTACATAAAGTAGATTGGGTAGCCTTTGCAAGATAATAAGCATAGTGATGAGCTAAAGGACGGTACATCATACACTTAACTACTTAAAGAGCGAAATGGCTTTGAGTATTGATATGTTTGTTCTATATGAAAATGGAACGTCATCAAGCAGATCCTAACAAAGCATCTTGACTTGAGAAGACACCAAAGAGTGATGGCAGGATATTGCTCAAGGTCATAAGTGAGAACGGACAGCTTTTGAAGCACCCCAATAGTAAAGATGGCAATGGAATTAGATAGGCGCGCTGGTTTACTGGATTCTTTGGTCAGGTGGCAACCTCATCACTGGGGCCTGTGAGCTTAGGGCATGTTTTTTTTTTTTTTTTTTTCGGTCGCGCTCGGCATTTAGGAGGCGAAGAAGTTAGAAGTGAGGCCATACGGTGCACTTCTAGATAATAGTCTTTAAATCTTGGAAGTGCTTCTTGCAGGCCAAGGAACGCCGAATGACACGATCCATATATGGGGTGGCCGGGACTGGTACCAAGATTGTCCCGGATTATTTGAGATCCACTATATTGGTAATAGAGTCAAGTATTTGACAGGCTCAACCTTGGGAATCTTGGCTTAATTGACTACATGTCACTTTGCAGTTTATCTATATTGTAGGTGTAAGTGGGATGATTTGATGCCTTGGTGCCTTGATGCCTTCAAATGAGGAGTTAATTTTTTTGCCCCACTAATGCACGAGCCAGCTAGTGAAATGAAAATTTGCTCGAAGATGTAGCAGATGTAGCAGATGTAGCCTTTTTTTTTTTTTCTCAAATAAGAATTAATAAAAATTTGGCTATTTTCATTTTCAAACATAGTAGCTTAGCTATATAGTACCATACATTGAGCTCTCGAGTTGGCAGCATCGGATTTGGATTATTAATGCACATTGCCCCACCACCTTGATAGAGGGGTTTGGGGGCATATGAAGTCAAGTCCAGTATATTGGAAAGCTAAAAGCAGAGTGAATCATAGGCTTTAAATTATCTCATTTTTAGCATTTAGGATGATCAAGGGATCATAAATAATATTAATATAGCGGTAACAAAAAGACTTGGAACACTCGCTTGTGAGATGCTGTCAGACGTCACCGGAGAACCCGCGGATGGCAAAAAAAAGTCACTTCCAGTGAGTCAAGACAAAGTATGGAGGATTTGAAATCAAAAAAAAGCCGAAATGAAAAGGAATTGAGACAACGATGAGCTATTAAAAAAAGATAATATAAATCTTTTCTATAGTAAAAAAAAAGGGCTAGTCAGCTCAAACGCACAAAACCGGGAGGAGAAAAAAAGTCCCCACTTTCGCTTTTCTTTTTTTTCTCTCCCACTTTCCACTTCCCCTCTTCTTCCTTCTTTCCCCTACCTCTGTCCTCCAGGAGCAGTTGCACATAGAACTTTTTGATTCAGTGATCGAGAATCTCGATCCTAGTCATCTGTGTGCTCTTCTTCTTCTTTTCTCTATCCTAGTTTACTCAGGATAAACCGCCAAAATGGTTAAGTAAGGATACCTCACATCCAGTCTCAGAACGTACCAGCTAACATTATGTGAACAGCTTCACTATCGAAGAGGTTCGTAATTGCCTTCCAAGGATTCCAAGGTTATATCAAACATTACCAGTGGAAGGGTGATCCCCTCGATTGCTCACACTTCCATCTTGCATCCATCTTCCCCCGCCATTTCCGCTGGTGATGCTAGAAAACCTTGCTCCTTGGGAATAGAGAATCGTCAGATCATGTGAATGACAATGCTAACCTACTTTAGATCCGGACCTTGATGGACCGTCGGGCTAACATCCGAAACATGTCCGTCATTGCTCACGGTAAGTTCTTGAGGATGTGGTATAGTGAAATGGCTGATTCTGACCTTGTGTCTGTGCGTTAGTCGATCACGGAAAGTCCACCCTCTCCGATGCCCTTGTCCAGCGTGCCGGTATTATTTCCGCCGCCAAGGCCGGTGAGGCTCGTTTCATGGACACCCGTCCCGATGAGCAGGACCGTTGCATTACCATCAAGTCCACCGCCATCTCCCTCTACGCCAAGTTCCCCGACCCAGAGGATCTCAAGGAGATCCCCCAGGCCGTCGATGGTGACGAGTTCCTGATCAACTTGATCGATTCCCCCGGTCACGTCGATTTCTCGTCCGAGGTCACTGCCGCTCTCCGTGTCACTGACGGTGCCCTTGTCGTTGTCGACTGTGTCTCCGGTGTCTGTGTCCAGACCGAGACCGTCCTGCGTCAGGCCCTGACCGAGCGCATCAAGCCCGTTCTGATCATCAACAAGGTCGATCGTGCTCTTCTCGAGCTCCAGGTCTCCAAGGAGGATCTGTACCAGTCCTTCTCGCGTACCATTGAGTCCGTCAACGTCATCATCTCCACCTACTTCGACAAGGCTCTCGGTGACGTCCAGGTTTACCCCGACCGCGGTACCATCGCTTTCGGTTCCGGTCTCCACGGCTGGTGCTTCACTGTCCGCCAGTTCGCTATCCGTTACGCCAAGAAGTTCGGTGTTGACCGCAAGAAGATGCTCGAGCGTCTCTGGGGCGACAACTACTTCAACCCCAAGACCAAGAAGTGGACCACCAAGTCTGAGCACGAGGGCAAGACCCTTGAGCGTGCCTTCAACCAGTTCATTTTGGACCCCATCTTCAAGATCTTCGCCGCTGTCAACCACAACAAGCGTGACGAGATCTTCACCCTCCTCGATAAGCTCGAGGTCTCCCTCACCAACGATGAGAAGGAGCTCGAGGGCAAGGCCATCCTCAAGCTCATCATGCGCAAGTTCTTGCCTGCCGCTGATGCCCTTCTTGAGATGATCTGTATCCACCTGCCTTCCCCCGTCACTGCCCAGAAGTACCGTGCCGAGACTCTCTACGAGGGTCCCATGGACGACAAGGCCGCCATCGGTATCCGTGACTGTGACCCCACTGCTCCTCTGATGCTTTACGTCTCCAAGATGGTGCCCACCTCCGATAAGGGTCGTTTCTACGCCTTCGGTCGTGTCTACGCCGGTACCGTCAAGTCCGGTATCAAGGTCCGCATCCAGGGCCCCAACTACATCCCTGGTCGCAAGGAGGATCTCTTCATCAAGGCCATCCAGCGTACCATTCTCATGATGGGTCGCTTCGTTGAGCCCATTGAGGATGTCCCCGCCGGTAACATTGTCGGTCTGGTCGGTGTCGATCAGTTCCTGCTCAAGTCCGGTACCCTCACCACCGATGAGACTGCCCACAACATGAAGGTCATGAAGTTCTCCGTCTCCCCCGTTGTGCAGCGCTCCGTCGAGGTCAAGAACGCCCAGGATCTGCCCAAGCTTGTCGAGGGTCTCAAGCGTCTCTCCAAGTCCGACCCTTGTGTCCTGACCATGATCAACGAGTCTGGCCAGCACATTGTTGCCGGTGCTGGTGAGCTCCACCTCGAGATTTGTCTTAAGGATCTCGAGGAGGACCACGCTGGTGTTCCTCTCCGTATCTCCGACCCCGTCGTTGCTTACCGTGAGACCGTCGCTGGCACCTCCACCATGACTGCTCTGTCCAAGTCGCCCAACAAGCACAACCGTCTGTACATGACCGCTCAGCCTATCGAGGAGGAGGTTTCCCTGGCCATTGAGTCTGGAAAGATCAGCCCCCGTGACGATTTCAAGGCTCGTGCCCGTGTCCTTGCTGACGAGTACGGCTGGGATGTCACCGATGCCCGTAAGATTTGGTGCTTCGGTCCCGACACCACCGGTGCCAACTTGCTCGTCGACCAGACCAAGGCCGTCCAGTACCTCAACGAAATCAAGGATTCCGTTGTCTCCGGTTTCCAGTGGGCTACCCGCGAGGGTCCCGTTGCCGAGGAGCCCATGCGTTCCGTCCGCTTCAACATCCTCGATGTTACCCTGCACGCTGATGCCATTCACCGTGGTGGTGGTCAACTGATCCCCACTGCTCGTCGTGTCCTGTACGCCGCTGCCATGCTGGCTGACCCCGGTCTCCTCGAGCCCATCTTCAACGTCGAGATCCAGGTTCCCGAGCAGGCTATGGGTGGTATCTACGGTGTCCTCACCCGCCGCCGTGGTCACGTCTACACCGAGGAGCAGCGTCCCGGTACCCCTCTGTTCATGGTCAAGGCTTACTTGCCCGTCAACGAGTCCTTCGGTTTCCCCGCCGATCTGCGCTCCGCTACCGGTGGACAGGCTTTCCCCCAGTCCGTCTTCGATCACTGGGCTATCCTCCCCGGTGGTTCTCCTCTCGACCCCACCACCAAGCCCGGTCAGGTCGTCCAGGAAATGCGCAAGCGCAAGGGTCTCAAGGAGGTCGTTCCCGGTTACGAAAACGTAAGTTATTCTTTTGCTCACTCTCATTATTCTCAGTCACTAACCTGGTTCTATAGTACTACGACAAGCTGTAAAAATGTTCCCGGCCACCCAGAATTTCCCTTCTGCCAGTCATTCGTGGAATCTTTCATGAGATTGATGAATTCAATACAATTTCTTCGGTTCAACAAAATTTTATTCCCTCATTCGTCGGTATTTGCTTCGATCGTTCCGTCTTTAGAAATCCGGACATGAGCCTGGAAGCCTCTGGCATCGTTGGCTCTGTCCTTTCATTGCTGTTTACATTCTGCTTTTTACTGAGGGCTTTTTTGCTTTTACGTTTTTGCTGTAGTCTAGCAACCAGTTTCGATATGAAAATAAACTTGGTTTGCTAGGCGCAGTCGTTCATTCGTAGGATCGTTGGTAGAGTTCGCAAGTAAATGTAAAGACCAAAAACATAAGAGCCATGCGATGAATCCGATCATAATCAGTGGAGCTGAAGCAGTTGGGTGCTATGTCATTCAAACACGTGACAACTGGCACTCGCGTTTTTGCCTACGACTTCGCGTTCCCAGCCATGACTCTAACATTCCCTCACGGTTGGGGGTGAAACTTATCAGCTTAAAACAAACTCTTCTCAAGCTTTGTTATTTGATACACACAAGGCTGTGATTTCATCCCATACGCGATAATTACTGCACACGCAGGAATCTTCCCGAGTGACGGTTTTGTTGAAACCGAATCCCTGCAATCATCGCCACTTTCACGTCAATCGTTTGTTCGACGCAATTCCACCCTCACAGTTTGGAATTGCTCGAAAACCGCCTTCGTCATGCAGTTTACCGATGCGGAAGCCGCCGATGTAAAGAAATGGGTGGTCAAAAAACTGGAGGACATGTGAGTGGATCAAGCACTAGAATCGGGTCTTGACATGGGCCTCGGTGAAAGACAGCATCGACTAATCATGTTCATTCTGCCTATAGCTCTGATGCCGACTCCGATGTGCTTGCAGACTATGTTTTGGCGCTAGTTAGGTCCGATGCGCCAGCCGAGGAAATAAAAAAGGTCTCGGTGGAAAACCTGGAGGATTTCCTACGCGAACGTGCGTCTAATGTCTCAATCGCATTAAATTGTTTCATATACTAACATTTCCTAGACACGCAGCCATTCGTCACCGAGCTCTTTACAACCTTCGGTCCCAAGCAACCCGCGCCTCCTACGCCCGCACCTGCACCCCAGCCTCAGCGCCAGGCCCAAACGGCTGCCCATATCCCTTCATCACAGCCTCCTGAGAATGCCCCCAGTGGCCCGAGGGCTGCCGTTACTCCCGGCAGCGCCAATCGCAAACGAACTTTTAATGAGGGATTCCAAGGGGAGCCCGATCGTGACGATGGTGGGTTCCAGAATCGCGCCATGAAGACTGCACGGCGTGGCGCTCGCGGAGGCGCTCGGGGCGACTTTATGGGTGGACATCAGATGCAACAAGGTCAACAATACCCCCCACAGCAACAGGGTCAACCGTTCCCTCCACAGCAACAGGGCCAACAGTTTCCTCCGCAGCAGCCTGGTGGCTTCCCCATGATGCCTGGTTTCCCGCCATTCGACCCGAACGATCCTATGGCAGCAATGATAGCTATGCAGGGTATGCAAGGTATGGGATTCCCACAGATGCCGGGTATGCCTATGCCCGGGATGCCTGGTCCCGGTCAGCCAGGAGTCGATCAAATCCCACAAAGCAACCAGCGGTGTCCGTTCTATGATACCCAAGGTATCTGCTATCTAGGAAACACTTGCCCTTACCAGCACGGCGAGGGAGGTGCCTCGAAAGACGATGGTAAGAGAAATTTATTCACTCTAGATACACCATTGCTAACAGTCGCAGAATATGACCCCAAGACTGCTGGTATGCATGCGCAGCGGGGCGGTGCTCCCATGCGCGGTGACCGAGGCCGCGGCCGTGGTCGCGGCGGATTCAGCGGACGAGGACGCGGCCGGTCCGATTTCTCATCGGCAGGACCTAATGAGGACCAGTCTGTTACGACGATTGTTGTTGAGCAGATTCCCGATGACAAGTTCAACGAGGATTCTGTGCGCGAGTTCTTCTCTGAGTTCGGCAGCATTAGCGAGGTCACTTTGCAACCCTACAAAAAGATTGCTTTGGTCAAATACGAAACTTTCCCCGAAGCCAAGGCTGCGTGGTCCAGCCCCAAGGTCATCTTCGACAACCGTTTCGTGAAGGTTTACTGGTACAAACCTAACCGCGAGGAAAGGCGTGACAGCGCACAGCCTGAGGCCCCAGCTTTCAACCAAGAAGAGTTTGAGAAGCAACAACAAGAAGCACAGCGGGCGCATGAAGAGAAAATGAAAAAGCGACAGGAGACCGAAGCAGCCAAGCAGGCTCTAGAGCGCCAGCGCGAGGAACTTCTCAAGAAACAGCAGGAGGAGCGAGCTCGTCTCATGCAGCGGCTCGGAGGCACAGCAGACACAAGCGATGCCGCCAGTTCTGGGGATGCTATGTCTGTCGAGCCTGCCGCCGATGAGAATATCAGTGATGAGACGAAACAGCTGCGAGCTCAATTGGCTGCCCTTGAGGCTGAGGCAAAGAGCCTTGGCCTCGACCCTGCCGCCGACCCTTCGGGACGGGGTGGATACCGGGGTCGTGGTACCTTCCGCGGCCGAGGCACATACCGTGGGCGCGGTGCTTATGATCCCAATTTCCGCGGAGGATATCGTGGGCGCGGTGGCTTTGCGGCTCGGGGACGAGGAGGCGTGCTACGTCTGGATAACCGGCCTCGACGGGTCGCCGTATCGGGCGTTGAGCTCAACTCAGACAAGGACGAAGCATTGCGTCAGCACCTGATGGTAAGTTATTATCTTTCTAACCGGAGAAAAGCATATACTAATTTGTTTGCTATGTTTTAGGGCGTTGGCGAATACGAATCTATTGAGGCACACCCAACCCAGCCCAACACCGTCGTGGTGGCATTCAAAGAGCGCTTCCAGGCCGAGAAGCTCATGTTCTCTCCCTGGAACATCCCCTCCGTGGGTGAGGTTCAGCTCACCTGGGTTCCTAACCCTCCCATTGTCCTTCCCACCGCTGGGTCATCCACGGAATTCAAGGGTGGCATTGGACAGGACGAACCGGAAGACACAGTCATGTCGTCTACGTCGGTGGCCAACACCGCCCCCGCGCGGGATATGGACTACGACGTTGCGGAGGATGACCGCTGGGGCGCGTAATGTCATTACCTTTAGATTACCATCACATGTTGGTTGTATAGGCTGCATTAAGCTATTCTCACGGGATGGACGTTCCATTACCGACTTGTTGTCTTAAAAGAAAGCGCTACAATCGTAGAATATACAAAAGTAGATCCTCATAGCATCACACGCTCTGAGGAATCAACTCAACCGTATAACCATCCTTTCAACTTGGATCAGCATAACCACGCTAGCATAGGAATATCATAGGAAACATTCAACTCACCGGATCAGAAACCATAGCAAATTTCTCAAAAAACCACGCATAATTCCCATGGATCTCACCACATCCAATCCCCCTCTCCTCCTCCCACCCCGAAAGTGGCACAGTCTCCCTCGAACAAACACCTACATCCTTAATAATCTTAATCCCACCATCCCGCAACCTCTGCACTGCAGTCGCCACATCAGGAACCGTGAACCCCAGATGCGCGAATCCAAGATGCGGGGGGGTATTCCCCGTAGAAACAGATCCATCTGCATCCGCATTCTCCGTGCCATGCACATGATACAATTCCAAAAGTCCGCTAGTCCTCGTCATAGCGGGGATTTCGCTTGTGCTCTTCGCCCAAGCGCTTATATCCTCCGAGGTCTTTGCATCTGCCGGTGGGTGGCCGAGGTAATAGATTGTGAAGGGCCCGGCGTTCATGGTGAAGATTACTCGCATTCCTAGTAGGTCGATGTAGAAGTGGAGGGAGCGAGCTGGGTCTTGGATGCGTAGGGCTAGGTGGTTTAGTCTGTAGTCTTTTGTTGCTGGTGTTGGGGGTGGATTTAGGCTTGGGGCTGCGTTGAAGTGGCCTTCTTCTTGGGGGAGGTGGAATTTGTTTTCCGACATGGTTGAATATGTATGGGCTTGATGGAATTGAATCAGGTTGGGAGATATAAAGGACATAAACTTGAAATTAATTCGAGATTTGATAGAATGAGGGGTTGATATTCGGCGGATCCCGTTTGGCCTATCAACGAGAAGGAACTATGTTGAAATAGCCCATGGGGTGCACGAATTGATCTCCGACAGCGTACTGCTATGGAATACGTCAAGGGACTACATCTACTGATAAACAATCATATCTAACCCCCCTCATACGGCATCGTCACCCGCTGAAATCCACTGCCCTCGGCATCAATATACGCAAAGAGCTCTTGATACCTATCACCCGCCTTGACCGTATTATCAGCGACGATGACAGCGCCAGGCCGGAAGTGCGGCTGGACAAGCTTCAGCGCAGGGAGGGCGAGAGGCGTCCAAACTAGGAGTGGTGGTTAGTATATATGCTGCCACTATCACGAGTAGACAGCAATCGAATATAAAACACCAGACATGTATATCCATATCCTACGGAACCCAAGAAAATCACCACTTACTATCCAACAACAAGAAATCCACTGTCCCCAGATCCGAAGTAAGAGTCTCACGCAGATCTCCAACACGAAGCTCAATCACATCTTCAACGTTCTTGCTCGCACTCGCCCAATGCGCTCTCGCCAGTTTAGCCTTAGACTCTTCCTTCTCCGTGGCGATTACTCGCGGCTTAGCGGTAGCGCCAACGCGCTTCGCATTCTCTGCAACGGCAAGCGCAAGGTAGATGGTGCTAACGCCGAAACTGGTACCGGCCTCGACGACTGTCTTTGCGTTGATGCTGCGTAGGAGGTGGTAGACTAGTTCACACTTATCCTGGTCGAGTGCGATGAACTTATCGAGCATGATGGAGTCGAATTCAGCGCTGCATTGTTCCGGGAGGCCTTTCCAGTCAACGGTTGATTCTTGGTTTAGAGATTTGGTGTGGAGGTCTTTTAGGAGGGTTAGGAGTTCTGGAGATGCTATGAGGGGTGAGGGGGACATCTTGGATTGATTTGTTGGTTATTTGATGGTAGGGAGTATGTCTTGGGTTACTAGGGAGAGGATGAGGAAGGGAAGAAGAGAAGAAGGACTGTATAATTGAATAAACTACTTGGGTATCAGTCAGCCTGGAGAGCCTGAGCAAACAGGCATCAGGCATCATAATTGGGGAATTGGGGAAATGTAGATAACTGAAGGGTAGTTGGGTCCAAATTTCCATAAGCTCCGAGGTCCAAGGTCAAATTGATATCCCGTGAGTCATCGGGGGACCTTGTGCAGAGTCCGTACGATGTGCGAATGTACGCCCTATGGGAATTTGGGGTTAGACGGGCCAACAGGACGAAGACGGAAGTGCCGAGTCTAACCGACATGAATAATATGTGATTTAAATACAGCTCTCGTCTGCTCCGACAGCTGGCAATATCCAATGAGCTACTATAACAACTTATGATGGCCGTCAATTGGCCTAAAGTGGCCCTAACAATGGAAACGGGATTACGATATGTGATCTCCATACAAGCATAGCAACAGAAACCCCATTCTATTGCTCTAGTAAGTCCGCATAACTATTCAAAGACCTCCCAATCAAAGAAACCATCTCCCAGATATAATCTGCCGTAAACAGCCGTGCCCACAACCTAGTAACTGCAGCACTGAGCCTGGTATTAGTAGCCAGCAACCATTCCCTCGAAACACCATGCTGCACCTCCATAACCATCTCGAGCACGAAATCTCGCAACCGAGTCTCCTGCTCCGTCAGCCGCGGATCCGGATCCGGCACCGTAATCGCCTCGAGCCACTTAGCCAACAACACCGCGCACTCCAGGGAGCACAAAGCATGCTGGTTCGACCACAGAGCCACCTGCGAGTGCGCGACAAATCCAATACCGAGCTTGACGGGTGTACTGAGGGCATGTGCGCAGTGGAGCGCAGCGCGCGTAAGACGGTCGCCGCGTTGGACGTGGAGGTTTTCACGGAGACTGGTTGCAATCTGGGCGGGGTCCCATGTTTGCAGTTGGCGGGATGATCCGCAGTCTGCGTTGAGTCGGATGTAGGCTAGTCGAAGCAGAGCTGCTGATGTGAAGGATAAAGGACCGTTCGGGCTGAGTGGGTCAACGGATGATTCTTGATTGCGCTCCCAGCACTGGCACCAGCGTTCTAGGGCATGCTCGACGTGCACAAGCTCCGGTGTGGATGTCATTGATGATGAGGTGAAGCGGTTCCGCCGTGACACGGGTAATCGGCCCGCTTTGGTCATTAGCCAGATGTCTTGTAGGATCGCGTGGATTAACACGTAGCCGCCGAGCGAGGAGAACCGTTCTACATTGTCGGTTGGCGCAAATAGGGCGGAAAGGGCGTCTTGGAACTTTGGTTCGCCGGGACTGTTCATGCGCTCTGCTTGCCAGAGGTCTGCGCGCGAGGCTTGCCATTCCTTTTCGGTGCAAGGTAATTCAACTGTGAAATCTTCTGTGAGAATCACTGGTGGGACATCGAAGACGATGGTGTGAATGTTGAAGAAACAGAGGACAATTAGTTTGGTGCGCTTTACTCTTTCCCGTCGTATCCAGCTACTCCATGTCCCGTCATACTCGGGTAGCCGATTGAGTCCGCCTTGTCGGATGAGCATTTCCATTAGACTGCGGAGTGACAGCGCCTCGTGGTATGGGGGGTTATTGATAAACCATAGCGACACTGAGTTCAGATACAATAAAGCTTGCACAGTCTCTAATATATCAATGTCGTCGGCCGCGTTGACCGTGGGCAATTTGCCCGACTGGAAGACCCGACGAACATGTTCCAAAGTTAGCGGTTTGGCAATTTGATAGAGACGCATGCTAGTATCTGGCTCACGGCAATACCGTGCACCCAATGCGGCCATCGATAGGAAGAGCGGCAATGTCATCGAGTCTACATCGAGGGTCGGGAGATGCACGATGGGGTAGTGATCGTGGAAACCGGTTACATACCCGGTCAAACATCGGGATAACGCATGCCGAGATGGTAGCGATGGGTCTGGGACCACATTGGCGTAGTCGGACAGCATATCCAAGAGCTTGTCCCGACATTGAGCCGTGACCGGTACGAATCCCGTGGGCTGGCGCGCCTTGGGGGAGATGTGATATCCCTCCGGCTGGAGCGAGGGCAACTGAGCGCCATGTCGGGGAAGTATAGAACTCGAAGGAGTCGAAGGAGTAGATTCAGTCAAAGTCCCTCTATCTGAAGATCGATCATAATCTAGAGCTGGGGAGAAGTTCAACGGTGGGAATAGCGGGAGTGGTTGATAAGCTGGCGAAAACGGATGATTTGGCAAGGGGACGCTATCCAAAAATGAGGTAAAGTCATGACCCTGATATAATCCTGGTCCAAAAGCACCCAGAGCGTATCCAAAATCTGGGCCTGGAGATGGGGTACTGGGTCCTACAGAGGGAGTGTTTGTGCTGTCCAACTGAGCACTCAGCGTCGGGCGGTGCACGGCCCGTGGTAATCGGAAATGGTCATTAGGTGCCTGTAAAGCACTGCGATTAGATTGGGCGTGGTTTGTGACTGCAGATGCCAATGAGTCTAACCCGTCCAGTGTGGGGGGATTTGCGGGGGAGGGCGTCTGTGTCTGATTGCTGGCTGGACTGGCATCGGGGTTGTGAGAGAGACGCTCATGACGGGCCAGCAGGTCCCTAGAATTGTAAGTATCTAATAAGCCCACTGGAGTGTTGGGTTATATATCATACTTGCGTGTAAAGGCCTTGGGACATTGAACGCAAACAAACGGTTTCTCTTTGGTATCTGTGGGGTATTAGACGGGGTACGGGGTATTTAGTCCAAGGCCTCGAAGACATACGTGAGCGATCGTGCCTTTGAAGATGTTCTAGACGAGCAAATGCCCTCGGGCATCGATGACATTGGTAAGGCTTGCTAGTCAACATTGGTGGACATGTGGAGTGAATGGGTGAGATATCTCGGGGGATTGTAGCGCAACTCCGGTTTGACTATACCCTCCACAGGTACCACACATACCCAGGTCGAAATTGATTGGAACTGATCCTATGCTTGGCCCTGCACAGCCATGCACTACATTGACTTATTGGTGATTCTATATTGATTGTTAATCAGCTCTACCGAATCAACCCAAATTCCCCAATCCCCAATCCCCGAGTTGGGGAAATTTCCACTAAACAGCAGGCCTGGTTACAGTTATGCGGAGAAGTATACCTTGTATTGTCAATTATGAATGCTACGCTCTAAGCCCCTCGTTTCACTCATTTTCCTCCCCTAGATGTAGGAGAAATAGAGTCTTTCGCTTGTAATAATTCTGATATGAAGTGAAAATCCTTCAGAAAAAGAGATAGAGCTAGGACATATTCAGCAGGCGGTATATATATGACTCCAACGCCAAGGCCTCGGGTCCACGTACCACGGATGGCCGTTATCAGTCCCACAAGCTTTGTACTTTGGAGGATTCCAGTGCTTTGATGTACATCGCGGCATGAGACCTAGCATGTACTGCAAAAGGCCATATAGAAGATCACGATGCTCCGCATTATTCTATTAGAATGATACATCAAATTGGGGGGGGATTATTAATGTCTCGGCCTTTGAACCGTTCTCCAATTTTCTTTCGGGCAACTCCACGCCCTAGATGCTTAGCCTATAAACAACCAAATGTCCGTCAAAACCTAGAAAATTCTTGCTATCCTGACTCACTACACGGCATCTACAACGCTCGGGTCATTTAAACCAACTATGGAAAAGCGCGAGGAGACCCCCGAGTCTCTATGCAGCTCTCAAGATATCGAATTCCGATATCTAGAGCTAGAAACGCCCCTACCGACACCTTGCATTACTTTACCTCCCGGTCCCGCTCAATCACCACCACCAGAGCCACCTAGTCTAGAGAAATATACATCTCCATTTCTCTGGCCGAAATGGCGTAAATCGATGATGACTTATATCGCCTGCGGGGTTACTGCGCTAGCAGGTTATGCGGCGGGCGAGGTTAGTCCTGCATCCGAGGAACTGACTAAACTGTGGGGGATTAGTACCGTCGTGTACAATCTGAGCATCACGACTTTCTGTTGTGGGTTTGCTCTGGCACCGATGGTGCTAGCTCCATTTTCCGAGATTAATGGACGGAGACCGATCTTTATCGTTAGTGGGATTCTCTTCGTTGGTATGTATACCGCGCTCTACTGTTGTCACTTGGCATATGCTGACTTGGTATGTCAATAGCTAGTTTAGTTGGCTGTGGCGGCACGCAGTCCTTTGCTGGATTGCTTGTAGCTCGTTTCTTCCAGGGTGTGGGGGGATGTATGTATAACCTACCTCGATTTTCCCACCCGTCCTCTATAAATATTGACTTGACACTTTCACAGCAACATTTTCCACCATGGTTGGCGGCGTGATCAGTGACATATATCACGCCCAGGACCGTAACACGCCCATGGCCCTTTTCTCTGGATCTGCATTGTTCGGTACTGGCCTGGCACCGCTGATCTCCGGCGCAGTCATTACCCGCACCACATGGCGCTGGGTGTTCTACTCGCATGCAATTGTGTCTGCAGTATTTGTCATCGTCATCTACTTCTGCTTCAAAGAAACGCGCGGCAGCGTCCTGCTGAGCCGCAAAGCTGCCAAGTTAAATCAGTACTACGAGCAACTCGAAGAAGCAGGCCACCACGGTGTAATCCTGTCGAGCGAAGAGTCCGAAGAGAAACGCATTTGTCGAATCAGATGGAAAGTCAAGAGCGACGAGCAACGAGCATCGATCGCAACCATGATCCAGATCTCGCTGTACAGGCCATTCCGTAAGTCTACTCCAACCCAATCAACCATCCCCAAAGATAATGGCAAAGAAAGAAGAAAGCAAGAAAGAAAGAAACAAGCTAATATTCAATCCAGACATGCTCCTCACCGAACCAGTGGTCTTCTTCTTCTCCCTATGGGTCTCTTTCAGCTGGGCCGTTCTCTACCTCCAATTTGGCTCAGTACCACTCGTCTTCCGCACAAACCACAACTTCACAATCGAGCAAACTGGCGCCGTCTTTACCTCAATGTGCGTCGGCGTTATCCTTATCACAGTCATCAGCATCTACCAAGAACGCATCGCCATGCGCTTCGGCAGACACTCTACTTCTCCCGAGGGCAGGCTGTATTTCGTTTGCATTGAGTCTGTGCTTCTGCCTATTGGTCTGTTCTGGTTTGGCTGGAGTTCTTTCCCATCCGTTCATTGGATCGTGCCCGCTATGGCCGTTGGCTGTGCTACTATGGGCATCTTTTCTATTTATCTCGCTACGTTTAATTACCTCGCTGATACTTATCACCGGTATGCGAGTTCAGCGATTGCGGCGCAGTCTTGTTGTAAGTTTTTCCTTGGGTTGTTCTTTTGATGAAGGTCTGAGTATGTGTTGGAATATTTGCTGATATCTTGCCCATTAGGCCGGAACTTGCTCGGTGGTATCTTTCCGTTGGTCACGAGTGCCATGTTCACCAACCTTGGTTATCCAGAGGCATCAAGTCTATTGGGAGGACTTGTAAGGCAACTTTCACCCTAAAGAAGAAAATCGACTGACTGGATTAAAATAGGGTGCTGCTTTGACTCTGGTCCCCTGGGTGCTGGCCTTATACGGACCCAAGATTCGAGCCAGGAGCAAGCTCGCAAGTGTAAGCGGTGCTCTCTATGGATGTACACTGTTCGAGACTAATGGGATGATAGGAACTCGCACATTAAATGACGTACAGCGCATACAAACCACGAACACGACAAAAAGTAACTTAATCATAGTATTTTAGGGTGGAAGATCACATAGAGCCAACATGCATATTATCAACTATTTCAGGGCCAGATAAATGCCCTATCTGATGTTTCATAACAGCAAGTGAATTCAAGTCATACCAATCGTACGCTTCCTGTGATTTGAGCATGGTTATGCCAGAAATTCCAAAAAAGAAATCCCCCACAATGCTAAAACGATGTACACATGACATGATCCTGCCATGTGTCCCATGCAAAATCCTGAAATCTTAGAACAAATGCAATTACCTCGGGCGTTGATGTCCTCTAAATGGATGTGCGCCATTAATCCCAAGACGATACGATGCATACCGACCCTCATCCTCGCTATCACTATCCATTTGGTCCAAAAGGCGATCAATATCATCACCAGCATGGGCTTCCAGTCCTGGTTTTCTTCCAGGCCCACGACCATTGTGAGACTCAGAACTTTGGGAACTCTGGCTTCCATTGTGGTGAGTCCCATTGCTGGAAGCGTTGATCGACTCGTTCACGCTGCTTTGCGTGCTCGCTGCTTGGAGTAGGCGAGGGCTGAATCGATACCCCAAGTTCTCGGGGCTGGACATGAACATCAGGGTCTCGATGGCGTCTTGTTCCATGAGTGTGTTTTCGGAGAGGGTGCGGGGTCTATAGAAGCCATTCGGTGTGGATGTTGGCACATTTGCATAAGATGATGAGAGCGAGGGCGTCATTGATCCTAGAGCTGCTTGGCCGTTGAGTGGTCGGGTGAGTCCATTCTCTTGGTGTGAATGGTGGCGTCGGTGGCGGGAGATGGGGGTGTGGTCTGAAGGTTTGGTGACTGCGTTGGGATTCGGTCGACGGCGCTGATTATGACCATTCGATGAGATGATATCCAAAGGCGGTGCTAGCTTGGGAATTGGGAGGAATTGATTAGATGAGAATGCTGATCGCGAGCGGTTATGGCTCGGGAAATGATGGGGGTTTCCGTTGGAAGATGTTTGGGAATCTGGTGAAAACCGCGTGGAGTTTCCTGCCGGTAATGATGCGACGTCAGTTGTTGCCGACGGGCTCAGTGGCGTCGCGCTGTTGTATGTTCGCAGTGCGGTTTGTGGGGTAGCTTCACGCGACTGTCGGGCCTGTTCTATTTTGGCAGCCGCGTATGACAGACGTGTACGGATATGGACCGACAACTGGGCAATACAAATGAGCTATGGACTCTTGAGTGGGCGGGTGAATGCGTTACCTGTGCAATCCTACTCCCATAAGCTGACGAGCCCGTACTCTTCGAGCGTCGCCGTGCAGCTCCATTCGCGTCGGCACTATGAGGTGTGGGTGGATCTAAAGTGGATTTGAAGTCGCCAGCTGCTGTCCGTTTCTGGCTTGGGGCCAAGCTAGCATCAAAGTTCGACTTTGTGCGCGAATGTTTTGGCGATGGCGGCGGTGATATTGCAACATTGCTGGCTTTGATCGGCGACAATGAGGGTCGCCATCGATCTATTGAGGTGCCTCCATTCACCGGCTGCATGTGCGGGGCGAGTTGGGATTCCAATAACTCCCGATCCACCCACGGTATCGATGTATGTCCATTCAATGTATGAGAGTTACCGAACTCTGTCGACTGGTGATTACCATTGGTCGAGGATAAAGGAAGGCTGGATATAGAGACTGTGAGGGTGCTAGCGGAAAGGTCTAGTTGTCGGCCATCGCCCGACGTATCGCTGCCGCGCTCCGATGATTCGATATAGGCTAGGTTCGGGTTGCCGTCACCATGAGCGACGGTAACAGCGTTCAAGCCATCTATTTGTAGTGATAGTGGTTGCGGCAATTGTGTGATTTGGGTGTCGGCCGAAGGTATTGGTTTGTGAGGGACGGGAGACGTCGCGTTGTTCATAGAATAGGTGTTCGCACTGGCCTCCGCATGGAGCACCCCGCGATTAGACATAACATCGTGACCGTCATTCATGATCAAGGTTGGGGATGTGGAAGATTAAAAGGTGTTGGGATAGCGACAATCCGCAAATACGCGCGAGCTAGCTTTAATCGCGAGTTTACACGGCCGCACGATCTCAACACGCATGCCCTGTCTCGAGTCACCACATCGAGAATCGGAGGCGGGAAAGTTCGATACCAAGTGATTTAGACGCAACTAACAGTTGATATCTCAACAAGACGCGTGGGAGTACTGTAGAAACCAGGGGCATCTGCCCGATCGAGTGGCGATCGACCAGCACGCGCGCAAGGGTTGCGACAGCACGAGGCGGCAAATGGATTCCTCCGTGATTCTGAACCGGGATGAAGGACCCGACAGGGATTTGAAGAAAAGAATGCAGTAAGAACTATTTTGAATATAGATGCGCCACAATATGCTAGCACGAAAAGAAAGCCCGTTGAGTAGTTGGTAGATTGAAGGGTTACTGGTGGAACACGCGTGTAGGCGCGGTCACGTGGATGGTACTAGACCAATTTCATCTGATTCAATGAGTTTCTGTAGATGAAGATTATTCTTAACGAATCAATATAAGGTCATTCAAAGATGAAGATGGTGGAAGATGGGTGTGTGTGGGCTCGGTGGGCTTGTGTGCGATGGGCACTCCCAAGCATACAAGATCTACGAGACTACAATATACAAGTCAAGAAAGTAAAAGAATCAGATTTAGAATTCACAATAATGATAATATGTACAGGAACTATAATCCCATATGACTCAATTCCAACGACGACAGAGTCAAGTTACAACTCAGCGGAAAGTAAGGATAAGCCGAGAGAAAGAAGAACAAAAGACACAAGAAACAAGAAACAAGAACCCCTTTCCTCCGTATCAAATACAGGCATCAGTCTGGCAGGCCTTTTGTATCTCTACCAGACCGAGCCACACACACACACACACACACTTCCCCTAAACCATGGCCGCCGTCGACATCCTCATATGCTCCGAGGTCAAATCACGAACGATCGGCTTGACCTCCGGAGCCTGAGAAGTATGGTGAGCTACGTGAGCAGGCTCTGGCGCCCCTAGAAGGAATGCTGGTATCAAAGACAAGCGACTGAGGGGTTCAAGTACCAACTCACTTGGTTCTTTGGGGCCATGCCAGGCCCCCATCTTCTTCTTCCAGCCCTCATACTTCTCCCTACAGTCCTCAAGCGTGGGATTAAGCTTGGGCTTGCACTTAATATAGCTGATAAGTCCGCCATCCACCCAACGAACACGACGATTGTAGCGATGAGAATGCCGAACAGAAGCTTCACGAGAAAGATTCCTCTCTCCATATCAACCTCGTGGTTATTGTTAGCCCGAGGAGACATCATGTTGTCGTTGGCAAGGCCTGAGATAGGAGCCATGTCTTTCTAGTTGTTGTTTGATGTTTGGGAAAGATGTCAAGATGTTGTATTGATAAATGAAGGCCAAGCTTTCATGGAGCTTGATAGAAAACAGATATAGTTAGTTGGATAATTGGAAATCGATGGCAATGAGAATTCGTGAGGATAATATAAACAGGACTGCGAGTGCTATTAAGCTTGTTATGGAATGAAGCTTTGCGAGTTTGGGTTTGTGGTGTCCGACGACGGAAGGAATATTTTCTTATCTACTAAACCACATCAGTAATATGAACAATCCAAATCCTAGGTTTGCTATAAAACTTCCCTACCTTGGGAACCGGTGGGTGCTTTCATATGCTCCAACTTTGATGCGAGTCGGAGATTCTACACCTGGCATCGGATACCAGTATGACAGGCGAGAAGCATAGTATAGATGATATAGAAGAAGACAGCCTGGGCAAACAGTAGTGCATTCATGAAATAGTTTTGATATAATAAACATCCAACATAATGTAGGTACAAGTTTTGGGTCCAAACGCCATCTATGCAAAAGACCCAAGTAGATTAAGACATGTTCAAGAACAAAGAATAGATCACTTGCGCTTCTTGCCGCGTCCGCGGCCACCAGAGTCTTCATCCGGGTTCTTGCGCTTCTTGCCCTCCTTGCGCCAGTAATCATTGCGCTCTCTCTTCTCGCGCTCAGCCTTCTTCTCCAGCCCATCGGCCACCTTAGCACGGTAGACCTTGCGGCGCTCCTCCTGCTTGGCAGATCGCTTAGCCTGCTTCTCGTTGCGCATGGTAGTGAGCTTCTGCATGAGGTCACGGGCCTTCTTTTCCTCGCCTCCGAGGACAACGGCACGCTTCTGCATGTAGGTCGGCTCCTTATGACCCCTCATCTTGGTGATCTGCGACTTGAAGGGGAGCTCGGCGGCGAGCTGTCTTGGTACACGGAGCGGGTTGAAGTGACGTTCTTGTCTTTCGATGGGCTTGTAGGTTGAGTCTTTGATTTGGGGGGTGGCGATGCCCTGGGCGTGACGGACTTCACCGGTCAAGCGCATGCCTTGCCATCCGTTATCACCCTTTTCACCATCGACTTGGTCCAACAAGTTGGTCACAGGATTGTAGTAGCGGTGCGGCTTGATGGGATACCAAGCGCGTAGGAAGACAATATCACTCATCAAAATCTTGTCCTCGAATGTAGCACGGAAACAGCCATCGGGTTTGGATAGCGCACGCTTGATTTGACCGCGAATACCGGAGACAGTCTTGATGGATGCACCTTCAAACTTCGCAATTTCCAGCCCAGAGGTGAACATATCCTTGATGAACGCCGTGTTCTTGAAGATCTTGTAAGGGTGACCAGTGAGCTTGAGCTTCTTGACAATTTCCGTGTGCTCATCCACGCTCTGAACAACACCAGTGGCGGCAATGCGGAAACCGGGGTTTTTGTTCGAGAACGAGTTCACACATAAGAAACCGGTGTTAGGAGCGACAAGAGGACCGTAGAAGGTAGCGAAGCAGTGCATATGCTCAGGTGTATACTTGAGCATGCGGTTTCGCGTCCGACTGTCGGAGGTGCTATAAATAGGCATGGTCTGGAAACGACGCCAACCAAGCGAGAAGATCAATGGATCGTTGGTCTTGAGAATCTTCTTGTGCCAGCGGTGTCTCTTAATCCGGATCTGCACGTAGCCGAATCGGTCCTCAGTAGGTGCGAGACCACCAACGATGACAGGGAAGCGAGGGTTGAACTTGGAGACAAACTCGTAAGGTACGTTCTCGAGGACGATACGTGCGTAGGTGCCGGCTTTGTAACCTTCAGCCCGGGCGCGAGAGGCAGGGTCAAGTGTCTCAAATTCGGCGCGGTTGATATCTGCCTGCTTTTGCAGCTTGGCTTTCTGCAGATCGTACCAATCATCTTCGCCGAACTGGCCATCGATACCATCGTGCGTCCCGTCCTGAACTTTTCCAAAGCCTTCACGGTCCTCTTCTTCGAAGCGTAGTTTCAGTTCTTCCTTCTTTTTGGCGTTTCGCTCACGCTCGGCTTCCAGATCGGCAGCCTTTTCAGGCTCATCATCGTCTTCCCCTTCCTCATCTTCATCGCCATCTTCCTTGATACCATTGAAAACTTCGCCAGATTCCAAATCCTCGTAGTCACCGTCACCCTCATCGTCATCCTCGTCCTCGTCCATATCTTCATCCTCATCATCTGAGCCACCACCGGACAGTTTACCAGTGATGAAGCGGAGTTTGATTAATTCGAGCAACTCCTCGTCCCGCCACTTCCGCTCCAGCTCATCGTAGTCGTACTCTGGAACGGCGCGGAAGTCGGCTTGGTCTTCTTTTTCGTTGTTTGTCTTTTTGAAGAAGTCCTCGCCTTCGTCGTCAGCGGTTCCATCTTCCTCGTCCTCCTCATCGTCGGAATCTTCACCGCGCCATTGCTTCACGACATCAAGTGGGGTGATCGACTCGTCGTACATCATTCTTGACAGGTCGCTGACTCGGAAAGGAGGGCGCTTTCCGTGAAGAGACTTGGCATTGGCGAGCATGTTCTCCTTCCATCGAACATTGCCTTCCTCATCCTCATCCTCGTCCTCGTCCTCGTCCTCATCACCACTCTCGAGTTCCTGGTCTGAAACTGAAGATATGGAGCCCAGGTCAGAATCACTATCAGCGAAAGCCATGTCTTCTGCTTCTCCGTCGTCATTTCCGTTCTGTTTGGCCTTAAAACGGGCTCCAAAGTCAGCGGGTGCAGACATTTCAAGTTCGCCTTCATCATCTGTCACATCATCCTCGTCAATATCTTCAAGGATCTCCTCTTCGCTATCGGATCCTTCGGGGATAACTAAGTCATCTGGTTCGGGTACGGCCACGCGGGCGCGGCGTTGATCCTTCCGGCCTGTCTCGTCGTCATCTGCTTTGTTGAGGGCCTCGCCGCCACGGAAGAGACGAACACCCTGATCAGCCTCACCCAACATCTTGCGCTCGCCTTGAAGGCCAACAACAAGGTGCTCGCCAAGACCTCGGCGTTCCTCATCGTCCGAATCCTCATCAGAGTCCCGGTCAAAGGTGTTAGTCTTGACATCGATGTAAACTGCATCCTTGTCGACCAAGACACCACCGACATCAGACATAGGAGCGAAGAGCAGCTTCTGGTGCTCGCCAAGCTTGCGCCTGTTCGATTTCCCGGTAGCTTTGGCGATCTGCTGGTCCATGTAGGGAGTCGGGCATGGATCGGGCAAGCCCTCAATGTTCGCAACTGTCAGATCACCAACACCAGGAACATGGACTCGGGCGCCATGGGAGGGGAAGTTGGTGCCGCGCAGGTAACCGTAGAGTGCGACTGTGCGATCACATTTCGCGTTCTCCTCGATCTGAGTAGGTGGTGTAATATCCAAGAAACGATCTGCAAGTGCGTAGGGGTGAGAGTTGCGCCACACCAGCGGACGAGGATTTTTCATGACGGACAAGAACCGGGAAAGGTTGTGCACTTCACGATCGGGGTAACGGCCGTTGATAACACCAGACAAGTAAAAGAGCTTTGCGCCAGCGTATAGCTCACTCCAGAAACGGTGCTTCAGGCGCTTTTTCGCGTCCTTTAGGGTGCTGTGTTTCTTGAATTGATCAAGATGGGTAAGAATACCGAAGACGTTACCCGGCATACCAGACGTCTGCAAGGCGTTCAAAAATTCCATAGTCTCCATCTCGAACCCAAAGTTTCCGTCAATCATGAGAAGCACAATATCTGCGATCTTGGAAACATCGATCGCTGCTGCAAGAGAGTCGGACGGGCATTCGATGAATGTGAGACGTTTGCGCTTAGTCGTAACAACGGTCAACGGGCCTTGCGGGGAGCTGAGGGTTTGCTTGGTGTAGCGGCGGATCAAAGACTTGAGCAGAGTGGTCTTGCCAACTCCCGGGGGTCCAACGATGGCGACAACGACTGGCGGGGCCTCCTCGGGCATACGATCCACGAGGGGGACATGGAGCCTCTTTTCTTTAACCTAGAGAAGTCCGGGTCAGCATCAATTGACCAGCAGAAAAATTCCATATACATACATCATGCGATCGCGCAGCCTGCTTATTGAGTTTTCCAGGTCTTGAAGTGACGAATGCTTTCGGATTAGCACCTGTAAAGAGGAATCGTTGTTAGCCTGGGCTCAAAAGCAGAGAGTTTGCAGTTTTATCAGAGTGGTGTTGCCGTACCCTCAAATTTCTTCTTCTCTTTGGCAGGACGATGCGCCCTGTTGGCCTGCTGCTCCATGATATCTGTAAAGAGGTATATTACCTCAACAGATCCACTGCTTTTATCAAAAGAAAGAAAGGCAAGCGCAATGTAGAGGACTTTCCCCGACGGCTAGAAAATTAGCAATAATTATTTTTTTGCCAAAGCGGAGTGGATAAACCTTAGTCAGGATAACCAAAAGTATTATGGCCTAAGGCATCAGAATGTCTTGGATAATGGCCTGAGGCAGGAAGAACTTTTATCCTCCACCGGCCCGGCCATTTGGCTCCACTCCGAGCCATGAGACATCAGAGACCCCGCTGCTTGAGCTTTCCTTCAGTTTACGGCACTAGGTTCCGTGCGATAGCGCCTCCTATCTCGCACCGTGCACTTCTTTAGAAATCACAGGATGTAATTTCCCTTCGCGGTTATCATGCGGGGCAGAAAGAGTTGGCATCGGGAAGCCTCCGATCATCTAGAGCTATAAAATACTCCATATCTTCCCCGTATTCCATGAATCCAGTCTCGCTTGGTGTCTACTAGAATTTTGTGTCATATCCAATTTCTATATAACCCCACAAACCGCATATAATGTCTGCACGCCGACCACCCCCAGCTTACACAGCACCACCCGATTCGGGGGTTCATGCAACTTCAAAGTTGTACCGATCAATCTCCGAAACTGCATACACCCCTTCTGCACGGATCCCAAAGGAATCATTCATTATCAGACCGTGCTCCGCTCAGGCGTGGATTGTCCCCGCCGGCCACATCTGTCGTCTAACCACGCCGAAGG